TTGCAGAGAAATCATCGTGGATCATCGTAAGAGTGCTCAAAACAATCAAGCGAGGCCATTGTAAATCATCCCGAGATTGCTTGAAGCGTTCCAGAGAGGTTACTGTAAACCATCCCGAGAGCACCTACAACGTTCTTGAGAAGTCAATATGGATCATCTCCAGTGTACCGGCGATGTTACAGAAAGGTCATTGTGGCTTATCCCGGTATGTTTGAAACGTTCCAGAGAAATTATTCAGGAGTATCCAGAGGGTGCCCGAAACATTCTAAAGAGGTCATTGTGAATCATTCGGAAAGACCCCAAAACGGTCAAAAGAGGTCGTTGTGAATAATCCCGAGAGCGCCAGAGAATAATTTGTGGATCACCCGAGACTGCTTAAGATGATCTAAACAGGTCATTGTGGAATATCCAGTAAGTGTCTGAAATGTTTGAAAGATGTCACTGTGGATCATGCAACCTTTCATAGAAGTCAATGTGGATCATCTCGTGAGAGCATGAAACGTTTAGAAAATGTCACTTTCGATTGTCGTGAGATTGCCCAAAAGGTTCCAAAAAGGTCACCGATGATTATTCCGAAAGTTCCCGGAGCGTACTAAAGAGCCCATTGTGGATCCTCCCGAGAGTGCCCGAAACGTTTGAAATAGCTAAAGTTGAAGCCTGGGAGAGTTGTTATGCCATTCATAAAAGGTTAAAACAGCGCAAAAAACGACGGACAAGGTAAAGAAGGACACGGACAGAGCGCTGACTCGCAACTCAGTTGCGAGTCAGCGCTCTGTCCGTGTCCTTCTTTACCTTGTACGTCGTTTTTTTTGCGCTGTTTTAACCTTTTAAGTTTGAAATAGGTCCCTGTGGATCACCCCGAGAATGTACAAAATATTCTAAACAAATGATGGTGGATTATCTCGGGAGTGCCCGAAACGCTTAAAAGATTTCACTGTGAATTATCTCATAGGTGCTCGAAACGTTCCGAAAATATCACCGATGATGATCCTGAGAGTGCCGGAAGCGATCTCAAGAGGCCATCGTGAATCCTCCCGAGAGTGCCCAAAACATTCCATAAAGGTCATTGTGGGCCATCCCGAGAGTGTCGAAAACGTTCTAGAAAATTAAGTGTGGATCATCTCGAGAGTGCCAAAACGTTTCAAATAGATCATTAGGATCACTCTGGGTACACAAAACGTTCCAAAAATATCACTGAGGTTTAACCCGAGAGCACCAAAAACGTTCCAAAGAGGTTAGTAAGGATTACCTCGAGAGCGACCGAAACGTTCCAGAGATAATTATGGATCATCCCGATAACGCTGAAAATGTTCTGAAAAAAAAAATATGATTCATACCGAGAGTGTCAGAAACCTTCAAGGTTATTGTGAATTATTCCGAGAGGGCCGAAAATATTCCAGAGAAATAATTGTGGATCATTCAGAGAGTTCTTGAAACGTTCGGAAGAGGTTATTGAGAATCATTACGACAGTGCCGAAAACATTCCAAGGAGCTTATTGTGGATCGTCCCGAGAGTGCTAAACACGTTTAAAACAAGCAATTAAAAATCGTCCCAAGAGCGACCGAAACGTTCCAAAGAGGTATTCTGGATCGTTTTGAGAGTGCCAAAATCGTTCCAAAGTAGTAATGTTGGATCACCCCCAGAGAATACCTGAAACGTTTCGAAGAGGTCATTGAGAAGCATTCCGAAGATACCCGAAACGTACCAAAGAGGTCGCTGAGAATTATCCCGAGTGTGCCGACAACGCTCCAAAAAGTTCATTGTGGGTCATCTCGAGAGTACCGGAAACGTTTCAGAGAGATCATTGAGGATCGCCCCGAGAGTGACCGAAACGTTCGAGAGAGGTAATTATGGATCATTTCGAGAGTGCCGAAAAATTTCCAGAAAAATAACTGTGGATTATTCCGAGAGTGCCAGAAACCTTCTAAAGAAGTAATGGTGAATCATCCCGAGAGTGCCGAAAACGTCAAAGAAAAATAATTGTGTATAGTTTCGAGAGTGTTCGAAACGTTCCGGAGAGATCATTATGGATCATCCAAAGAGTGTACCAAACGTCCTACAAAGGTAATAGTGGATCATATTGGGAGTGCCCGAAACATTGAGATACTAAGGGTTATAGCCTCAAATCTGGAGCTGCGAATCCGATCCGGTGTCTACAGCGGCCGCGGTGGCTCTAGCAAGAGCAAGGCCGGTAAGCGGTTGCAAATAGAGAGCAGTGAGTGAGCGCGGAGCCACCGGGGTTTATTTCGAGACACGTCCCGGGACCTGTTTCCCGAGCGGCCCCCCGTGGCCCCGACGCTGTCCAAATCCGAACCGCGAGCGACTCACGTCCGACTCTGTGTCTGCGAAGAGGCGACCGCCAGCGGGACACCTCCAAATGTCGGCCCCAGGGCCCGTCGTCAGGTGAGCGAACCTCCACCGCCCCCGGACACCGACCCTAGACTTCGCGAGACCGGTGGACGAGCGGCGTAGATGAACCGCGAACCTAATTAGCAGCGAGGACCTATAGACGTTTTAAGACTATAGGCGTCGCTGGCTGTATGTGACCTCAAAGTGCGCACCCCTTTTCTCGCGCCGTGTGGCTGCGCTGTCTGTGACGTAAACGCCCCCTAAAAACAATCACGTTAAGTTGAGTGAAAGTTTTTGATTGCGGGATCTCTGGAGCGTGGTCTGAATGCACGCACAGAGAGGGTACGGAATTGTGAAGACGAGCTCGCAGTGGTTCTGTCCGGTAGGGTGGGATGCTTCCGGAAGGCGGACACATTGACTATTTGAGACGCCGATTGTTTTAGAGAACGCGACCTTCGACAGCCGATGTGAGAGAATGGTTCTCGATGTGTAGAGACGAATATTCTTGCAATGAGCCGAAGGAAGAATTATAAGTTATGAGGGTGGCTTTGTTTACTTGACACTCACGATCTATGGTATCGAAATCATGAGGAGTTTAAAACGCGAAATATTAATGAGTTCGTTGACCATAGGTATATATCGTATTCCACAAAGCCTGTCAAAATTGAAGTCATAAAAAGTGTTGCGAGGATGAATGAAGGAACTTTGTGAGACTTGTCGACTATCGTCTTATTGGCACCGCTGTGGGCACGCCTCTTATGCAAGCAAATGAATGAATGTTTATCTTCCGAAAGAAGTTTAGCAACTACGGACTCTTCTGAGCTGTTTGCTACGAACCCTAACGTTAATATACCAACCCCTGCCATATACAATATTATATATTGGCGTTATGGCAGGCATGTAAAAAGAAGTGGGCAAAAGGGTTATGTGGGCCATATGTTACACCTAACAAAATTCACTTCAACACGCATCTGAATCGAATCGTTCCATTCATTCAGTTCCGTTCGCTTTCGAGCGGCGGAAGTTTCAGCCCTGCATTACGAATAAACATAAAACAAGTAAAAGTACATCACACGTAATATGCGTTGAATTGAGCAATCAGAGTGCGACAGCTTCCCGGTGCCACCGTCGAAGTTATGTTGGCTTCACTACTATGATCAAGCACAATGCAGTGAAACCAGCTTTGTTTTATTCGCGCGGCGGTACTCATTGTCATTGTTCGCCGTGGACGGGACGTAAAGTTTATGTAGAAACTGCGCTTTCGCTTATAAAGCAAAACACGACAAACTTCCTTTTTGTCTCCTTTTTTTTTTTTTTTTGCGCTACCGACCAGTTTGATTGAGGGGTCCAGAATGGCATCTCACAGATACCAATTTTCTCTTAGAACTGATACCAAATGGTTGGGGGATCGGTGGCCGAGTGTTTTAACGTGGAGCGAAAGCTCTGACTGCAGAACCCAGCGATCCTGGGTTCAAGCCCTACCCCCTGACCGTTTCGGTCAGGATGAGCACCGCACCGGCCTGAGGTCGTGTATCACTGCGTGGTGCACGTTTAAGACACCAGGCTAGCGGTTGTAGTGCACTGGCTGAATTTCTCAAATACAGCTGATACACCAGACACCCATTGAGGCTGACTAACATCCGGCTGAATAAACATACACACGACACAATTATTATTATACCAAGCGGTCGTTTGCAAGCTTCAGTATCAGATCATTCAGGCTCCCTTAAAGTTGGCAGAAATAATGAGAACATAGAGTGTTCAACGTTGGCGTCTAAAATACTTCTTTTTTCCTTTTTTTTTAACTTGGCGTTACACTTTTTACTACTATAATACGAACGCGATTTAAAATACAACATAAATAATTTATGTACTGCAGTCGATCAAAAAAGATTGTCAATCCTAAAGCCGGGGCCACACTGCTCATACATCATGCAAAAGGCAGTCTGCGAACACGAGTCACCGCAATGTCCGTAATTCGAATGCCGCGTGACTAAGTTTCTTCTTGAGCTCATTAGCATGCGGCATTCGAAGCACAGACCTCACAGTGACTTGCGTTCGAATCTGTTTGCAGACTGTCATTTGAATGATGTGTAAGCAGTGTGACCCTGTCTTAAAGGTCACTACTATCTTAGCAGAAAACCTAAATAAGAAAACGAGAGATAACGGACGCGTTTTTCTTTTTATAACTGAGTGTGATGTGTCGGTGCTCCCTCGATAAGCTGGCTTGATTCCAAGTTGTCATATTCGCGGTTGTTCAGGGTTTAAAAGAGAAGAAGTGATAAGCGATTGGGTGGTAAAGATTAGATGATGTCTTGTTGTTATCGTTGTACGCATGTCTTTTCCAAAATTAAACCAGTTAAAAGTAGCGTTCTGTGGTGTACGTCCTTCTTCTACTAGTCCTTCGGGTTTTAGCGCGTTTAATTTTCTACGGCGTTATCACTTTCTCCTCGCGATCGTGGGTTTTTGCGTACGGGTGCACCGGCTTTTGCCCGAAAGGTGCACTAACAATAACAACTACACCTGTAAAAAAACAAAAAGTATTTGAAGGAAGATGTTGCAAGCAACGCGCAGTAGGGGACAAACTATACTTTCCCAGCTCGTGGTCAAGACAGGATGAACTCCTCGGTGTGTCCATATTCTCGCCCAGGACGCGAGCCTGCCCGGCCAGGGCGTCCCGCAACAGGGCAGTCCCCTGTTGAGCCCGACGGGCCTGCCGCTCCTGCCCAAATTCTACGAGCCGCCGGGTGACAACAACTCGGCCATGGACTTCGACGCCTTCAAGCACCACAAAAGTGAGTGCGTGATAAGCAGATCTAGATGGGAGAGTCTTGGTGAGACAAGGTTCGGCCCAATTATCCGTTACAACGTGGAAATTGTAGGAGAGTCTCCTTTGTGCTCCCAGGGAGGAATAACCTCAATATGCCACTCAGTATCAAACGCTCCACGTTCCTGACGTCATGGAAAATGAGAAGCAACCGTCAGCGTCCTCTCGGAGATTGGCGTCTTGGAAAACAAACCTCCGGTTATTTTCCAATGCACCGAGTCACATTTGGTGTTTAAAGGTGTCTTGCTTTTTGTGTAGGGACCCTTTCCTGTCGTATGTTACGACAAATCATACAGTCGGTCGTTTAATTATGTCGCCCTCGAGCTGACGGCAGAGCGGATGAAACCTACGAGCTGGCTGGAACAGTCATTAGCCGTCTGTCTAACTCCATGTCACATCGCTCTCGATATGTATGGATAGAGGGTGATTGTTTCTGAAAAGGCCTGCAGCCCCGATATTCGTCTACTCAACTCTAGTTTTACCAATGTGCGAAGTGGAACTTAGTAACACACTTTCGGGCGGCTCTTCACACAGGCTTCATGGCTGAACAGCTCACGCTCGTTCTCTTCAGATGATGGAAAAATGGGAAAAGCGCTAAGAAAATTAGAGCTTTCCGAATCTGGCATTTAAATATGTGGAAAAAGTATTAAAAAAAACTGAGACAAATATTCAGAGCATCAGCTGGAATCGCGTGCTTAGACATCTTGTTGACGTCGCGCTGTGCTCTTGTGCGCAGAGAAGACCTTCTCTTCGTCCAGCTTCTATGAGGAGCCCAACTGCATCTACCCGACGGTCGAAGAGCAGGTCGAGCTGGCGCGCAAGATCGCAGACTCCCTGTCGGCCGACACGAACCGAACGTCTCGAGGCGCCAATATGTTCTTCAAGCGCGTCAAGAGGTCCCACAAGTGGATCCATGAAGGTGCGCTAAGCGACGGTCTCTCGGAGCCATAGCAACTGCGTGTGCTCTTGTGACCTTCGGCATAAAAGCCCGTTCACACACGTGCAACCAAGTACGACCGAGAGAGATAAGACCGGTTTTTAAGCCTCTCACGACGTCTCTCGGCGTTCTCAGTTGCAAGCGTGTGAACGAGCCTTAATTCCTTGCCCCAACCATGGCCTTCTAAGATTCTTGGCGCGCAAAGCTCTCCTCCGGCCCTTCCAAACGATCGTTTGCCCAGCAGATTAGGCGGATTGGTGGCCGAGTGTGCTAGCGCACACCAGCTCAGAGCACGTGGAGGGAACGCTTGCGTGGAAAGCGTGGAGGGAAACCTATAGACAAAACACGACCACACAAGTAGCGTAAACCACAGCTCCTCCAGAGCTCTGCAGGACGGTGTGGCTGCACAGCCAGCATTGGCATCTCTTAAATGTGTGCACGCGGTACAGAGCTCGTAATTTTGTTAACACTGCGAAGACTAAGGAGCACGAGCGCGTTGAAACGCAATTCAAGCGCCCCCTGGTGCACTGACTATGGCAGTGCTTTTGTTGTTGTTGTTGTTTCACCCAGCCTTTGCTAAGACGCAGCTTCTCGCAAGCCGCCCCTGGTCACCAGTAAGCAGTGGGAGAGATTGTCCCAGAAAATTCCATTGCGGCGAAAGGGCAAAAGCCGTGAAAGCCCAGCCAATAGCAAATGAAGCAATGACGAGACGGCATCCGGTGTACACTTGCACACTTGCGAGAAACACGAAAAACGACAGAACGAAAACGATAGGTAGAATTAAGCGCACTAAGATAGAGAACAACACTAGGATTTCAACCTGCCATTTATTTGACAAAATAATGTGTGTTGTGGTAAAATACAAGAAGAAGTTCGGGCTAACGAGCGCATTTTTAAGCCCAATGATGGTGATTTCCATGCCTGCACCCAGCGCCACAACGGCGGAAACAGCTGCGAGCCATTTCTTTTTTTTTTTTTTTTTTCCCCTAAAACCAAGCGTCTTGGAGGCCATGCCCGAACCCCCGAATATTGCGCTCAGTATGGGAAACACTGATAGGGGAATCTACGGGTCACGATATAAGCAGGGTACAGACCAGGGGTGGCCAAAATGCCCCGGCCTACGAGCCGCAAACAAGACCACGAAACTTCCAGAGGGGGGAAGGGGGGGAGGGAGGGAGGGGGCAATTTTTTTGTGTACAGCAATAAACGAAACTCGAACTACTTTCAATCTATCCGAGTCAAAAGCAGTCCAACTGTACGTAAGGTAGCAGGAGCGCAAGACCACCAAACCGCAACCTGTCTTTCGATTTAAAACGCGTTCCATTCCTTTTTTTCGGAAAGTGCTCGTGTGACCGGGAGGGAAACGGGGGAGTGTGTGTGTGTGTGTGTATGTGGGGGTGGGGGGCGGGGGAAGCTAGGGCAGGGAGCCGCAATCCGCACTTTAACACGCAAAGAGCCGCATGCGGCTCGCGAGCCGCAGCTTGGCCGCCCCTGGTATAGACCTTTTGCAAAACCCCATCAAGCAACAACAGCAGTCCCCATTTCTTGGGTACGAAGCTTGTGATCGGATCCGAGGCCTTGCCCAACACTGACGTCACACTCGTTTTTCGATACCAGCTGAGCCGAGTTCACGACGGACGCCGCACGCAGCCCTCGTGCGGCGTCCGCAGAACCTATATACTGGATGGCGCACACTTTTGAAAGGGGTTTATTGCTGGTTGCCCTGACGGAGCTGCCATAAATAATACACCTCACGAGTCGTGTGCACTGCCATCAATGGACAGGCGTGAAAGGGTACGCTCCACGAAGGGTCGTTGTTGGCGCCCGCCTTCCCTCGAGGAATGCGGCTTCTAAGGCCATAAACTCGAGCCCCTGCTTCAAACGACGAAACACGGGGTGCTGTGCGCTTCTGATGGAGCACAGAGCGCCGATCGAGCATCTCCTACCCGGGAGCTATACCACATGACGCTTCAGCGTACTTTCGTGGGCAGATGGCCAAGGTCAAGCTGGCAGGTGCTATTCTTATCGAAGATGAACATCTTTGTTGTTCCAGAAGTATTTTATTTCCGTTTCAATAACCGTTCATTTGGCCGCCTTCCGGCAACAGTTGCACCCGCTCCACTGTGGACATTAAAAGAGTCCACAGCCCCTGCTCGACCCCTTTCTAGGGGTCAATGCTTTAGCGCAGCACCCGCGGAGCTCCGTCTCGTAAAATTGAGAATGAGGCCGGTTAGAAAGAACATTCCGAGTTCCGTCCCAACCTCGGCCAATTTTAGCCCGACTGCGCTGCGTACCCGCAGATGCAGCGGCAGCACTTCTGGTCATGACAACGGCCTCCGCGAAAGACGTTCTTTGGCCCAGGCCCGAAAGCTTTGTGCAAGCCTGAGTGCTTTATTCGTTTCGGGCATAGAGCCTCTAATTTCCAGCCACAAGGAACAGGAGCTGATAAAAGATTGCGAGAGCAAACCCTTCTTCCACCTCTTGGCTGGAAATCCCACCGTGCTCGAAATAGAGTATAAATGAGGAGGTGGAACCGAGAGAGGCACTCACGCCCGGGGAAAGCAGCAGGGTATGAATTCAGGCGCCTAGAGAGACATAAAAAGCGACACAAGAAGTAGGGTGAAGAGTTGGGCGAGTTGGTTTTGCGTATCGAAGATGTGCAAAACCAAATTTAGTTAAGAGTCAGCGCTCTGTCTGTCTGCGTCTCCTCTTGTCCTTCGCCTTGTTCGCGCTGTCTTTGATCTTCGACAAGAAGGGAGAACCGAGTTCAAAGCAGTCATAATTTTGTCAGAAGATGAACACTGTGGCAGGACCGCTGATACCTACAACAAAACCAGATATAACTCACACCACAATAAATGCGTATCTTCATTCGCGCGTCGGGGACTATATGTAAATTGGGGAATGTCTCCGAATCTGGACCCTTCTCCCTTTCTACAAGGGCGCAGCCATCTTGAATGTCGTCACTTCTGATATATGCGTTAAAACATCGCTTTGATCTCTCTACGCCGCTAGAAGGTGTTCATGAAAAATCCTTGATTGTCACATATCCTTGGTCTGCCTCACATATGTTTTCTCGCATGTTCCAAGTTTAAATTTTTATTATTTTTTCACCGCATACTAGATACGGAACCCACGTGACTGAGAACGAAAGGAAACGAAAAACGTTTATATACAGCATGTAAACTATATTGCAACTTAACCCGAGACTGGGGTATGAAATAGAAATTTATCAATGGTGACAGATGGGCCAGTTGGTACATGGTCTATGTACAAACGTAGAAGGGACATAACGCTTCTAAGCCTCTTTAGACGGCCCGTAAAAATCAGTTTCTCAACGTATCACGTTGCAATTTATTACAGGGGTGTAAGCAGGTGGCGAAAGTTTACAGTACGAAAACTAAAAAATAACCTTACCTCGTTAAAAAAAAAAAAAAACTGTTCTGAGCAATTTACGCCGCCACTTCGCAGGCGATGCATGAGTAGAGAAAAGTGCTGCCGACAGATGGCGTACGCCGCGTAACACTGTAGCCGCGTCGAGTGAGCACCGGCCGATTTGAGTTGATAGCAGACGATCTCTCTGCGCGTGCCTCGTCTGCGAAGTGGCAACATAAATTGCCCAGAACAGTATTTATTTTTAACGGGGTATGTTTTTTTTTTTTTTTTCACTGTAAACTTTCACCACTTCATTGTACCAGTATAGTAAACTGGAGTGCGATACGTTGAGAAACCGAATTTTGCGGGCCGTCCAAAGTGCCTTAGAAGTGTTCGTGTACGTGCTGTAGACGAGAGGATAGTGCACGACCCTTCGAATGTGCCAAGCGCCAACAGACACATGGCAACGTAACTGATCAGATGAGCCCAGAAATGAAACAAGATACTTTCGGGGCAGTGCCGTACGGTCATATACTTTTGAGTACATAAGATAATGAGAAATAATATAGCTAGTGGGGACCGCAGACACAGAAAAAGACCGGATCAAATGTTTCAGGTCATATTGTCCGCGGGGGCTACATGTACACAAATTAGTAGCCGTAAATAGAATTGTTGCTCCTATGACTTCCTTTCAACTTTTAATTTCTGTCAAGTGTCTACTACACTAAGTTCAGTTGTTAGAGCGAATGAGAGTCACGAGTTCAAAACCGCTCAAAATCCCGCCGCCCGCAAAGCGACCATTTCTTCCACTAGACGACTCAGAAAATCGCTAAATCTTGTGGGAAACAGCTAAATTGACAACACTGAATAAGACCCCAAATCTCAGCATCGTCGGTAATAACCCTGCGTTGGGCTCCAATGTGGGATCTGAAAATATAACGCCCAATTACGCTGGTGTCAAAGCTCATTCTAACATCAGGTTCATTTTAAGATGTACAGCAGTGAAGGATAGGAACTGCAGCTCATAGCTCTGCTAGCTGTTCCTGCTGCGTGAGAGTCTGTGCAGCCGAGGTGCGTCCTTGTGCAAGAATCTCGCGCTTACAGCCTTCACTTCGGTAGATCTTAATTAAGGCTGGCATGCCTTGCTCTCCACAACTAGCTCAAAAGATACGCGTACGCATTTATCTTATGTAGAGCGAAACACAGGAAACTTAATTGGTGTTGACGGAATTTGGCGCATCCTTCGAATCTCTCGAAAGAATCGATGCGCCTTGATCGTTACAACATGACACCATCCTCTGAATACCTCCTTCTTTGTCCTCCAGCTCCCGACTACTCAGACTCCGAAGCGACTCTGTCCGGCACAGAGACGTCCCGGGAGGACGACCGGACGCCCGATCCGCTGAACGTGCCGTACAAGGTCAGCAAGGTAGGTGGTTCCCATTCTTGTGCAGCGATTCCCAGTGAGATCCCTCCGGATGCAGGGTCCCCCAAGGCTCAAGCTCATCCTGGACCCACGGCACCTACAGGACGCGAACACGCTGCGCCAGTCGGGCATCAGCATCGTGGAGCACAGCGCCATCAGCCCAGAGGTGTGCCTGGACCTGGTAAAGGACCTCAACTCTCCGTGCGGCAAAGGCGCAGCCATGTTCGCCAAGCGCAAGAAGAAGTCCGAAGAATGGGTAGTGGACGTAGACCGCATCAAGGCTCAGCTAGGAGATCGCTGGCCAGAGCCCCACCAACCCGTGGCGCCAATACGAACCCCGATCAAAACGCCTGTGGACCGTTTCAAAGAGTCTCTCGTCAACCCCAGACTAAGGGTGAGAAAACTGTCACACTCTTAACATAAACCTAGTAGCTGCAGCAGTTACTACTTTTCTCTGAATGTTACTACCTCTTTACTAAGTATTTACTACCTCAAACGCGCGATAGGTAGTAAAAGGTTTGTAAGTCCAGCTGTTACTATCTTTTTCTGACTGTTATTACCTTTTTACTAGTTATTTACTTCCTCAAACGCGCTACAGGTATTAGTAACTGCGGCTGCTATGGGTTGAGGTGGCTGGGATGTCCATGAATTAGGATGCGGAGAGGGGGGGGGGGGAGAGGGGGTCAAAGTGCATGTGCATAAGTCTCCCCCTTGGATACACCACTGGTCGCAAATAATTACTATGTGCACCGTTACTTCTTAGAGATACATTCCTTAAAATGTTTAGCAATAATATTGGAGAATAATATTAGTGCGAAAGCAGCACCACCCATATTGTAACATCGTTCACCGACGAGGTGGTCACTGGCCAACCGACTTGTTTCAAATGATCAGCATAAAAGACACATGGGTAGCAATTGGTTTAGCGTGTCGTCGCGCGTACCATCTGTGTTAAATGAATAACACGTGTGCAAATGAGCGTGTAAGCAGAGTGGGTAAACAAATCTATCCAAGCGATAATAATTTTTCTTGCAAATTGTGAGTTTGAAGTTAACTAGGGCCACCTGGGTCTTGTGAGAGTTCGTGCCAGTTACCATCTAAAGGTAGTCAATATACTAAGTTGGTTAGTAACCGTTACAAGCTTCTTGACCTAGCAACCGATACTAGTTTGACTGTTAATTCCTACGGTTACTAGATACAGAGGGCGACACTGTTAGCGCGAACAAGCAATCGACGATTTTTTCAGTTTTTCTTTTTGAAACCAAGGGGTGTCATCCAAGTTATTATTGCAATGGAAAGAGCTCATTTAGTTCTATGATGTAAGCGATAACATTTCGTGCTCGCTAATACTATTCAAAAGTAAAATGCGAAAATGCGCCGATGTCGTGTTCGCGCTAACAGTGTCGCGATGTGTACCTAGTAACATATGTGACAAGTAGTTATTAGCCTTCACCTTGTAAATACTACTATCGTTTGAAGCGTACAGCGAAACAGACGGGACGGAAGAAAGGAGACAAACAATTGCTGATTTTCCTCTCTGTTCTTCCGTACCGTCTGTCGCTGTACATTTTAAAATATCATGCCCTACCAACACGCCCAAGACTATCCTAAATAAATACTACTTTTTTCTTTTTCTTTTTTAAGTGCGCGTTATAGATTTTAGGAATCCGAAGCATGTGTGTGTGTGTGTGTATGCTCAGACGGCGGCAAGCTGATCAGCCCCAATGGGCGTTTGCCGTGTCCGCTGTCACGATGACAAATCCTGCCAGTGCAGTACGACTGCTAGCTTCGGGCACCAGGTGAAAATCAGTCCAATTACAGCTAAGCTATGGAACTGATCCCAGCTGCTTGACGCTGAAAATGAAACAATCCAGCTGGACCCAGCTATGACCAGTTCCATAATCCAGCTGTAAGTTCGCTGGTTTTCACCCGCGTGAAGCACGTTGAAGACGCTTTCAACGTGAATCACGCAGTAGTGATCCACGACCGCACGCCGGTACGATGATCATTCAGACCTGAAAGGGTACGGGTGAAGACAGAGCCCAATAACCCAGGGTTCTGCAATGCGAGCACACTCGGCCACCAATCCCTCTGTCGAACCACAAGGCCCGTGCGACTATCGCAGATCGTCAAGAGTCCATGGGAGGCGGCGCTGGAGTCGCCCATCGGCAGCTGCGAGAAGGCGTTCGCCGTGGTACGACCCCATGAGGTGGTCGAGTCTGTCATCCGGGCGGCAGAGGCCAAGGGACCCTTGGAGGCCTACCAGAACGGCTACGGTACCTACGACTCGGCCGTGAGCCCTGTGCCGCCTCCCGTGACTACGGTGACCTACAACCCGACCGATCCATGTCTGGCCAGGGCACCTCGCGGGTGGCGAGGACCCACCTCACGTGAGTAACCAAGTAGCGGTACAGGGGGGTATCCACTGGACGCCACATTTGAGTGCGCTGTGCCCGGTAATCCTGATGGCGTGGAATGCACCGTTGCCAAAGAACTGCTCAAACTCGCCTTCAGCACGCACTCAGCAGCCACAGACGCAGCTATGGCCGCCAATGAATATTCCATTTGCGGTAAACAGCGCATCGTTACAACGCGGAAAGGAGTACTTGGTGCGTCTGACGTGTTTTGCGTCGGAGATTTTAATATTTAGGAACACCGACGCCAAATGCTGAGGCGAATGGTGTTTCCTAGGTTCATCTATGTGCACACCTGGAAAACTATTTCTGTTTCGAGGGCATGTAACAATCTAATGTAATTTTGTTGGAGCGGAGGAGGCTTGTCGATACAAATTAACCAGTGATGTGGTTCGTCTGAATCAAAGGTGCTTGAATCAGTATTCAACCACCTTTTGTAAAAGAAGTTCACTTCAGAGTAGGGGTCTCAAACTCCTTCCGGTGCAGGGGCCAGATAGCCCACTCCGAAAGGTAGAGGGCCAACGCGCAGAAAGAGGGGGAGGGGGGATATGTATTAAGTAAAAAAAAAAAAGCTGTTGTTTTTACTTTGCAACGTATTCGAGTCTATCATCGGCACACTTTAGGTTTTATGAAGGGACCTCGTGCTTTCTGCTTCTCGTACATTTGCGTCTTTAGCTTTGAGGTCCTAATGAGACTACTTTAGGCCCAACCCTGATGTGATGACAAATTGTAACATTACACCAGACCGCTAACTTGCTTGCAATTGTCAATGGAAAAAGAGAGCAAGTACACTTGCTATGTCACTCAGTTTTCTCGGAAATAATTACAGTTCAACATTTCTTTAAAAAAAAAAAAAAGAAGCTTCATGCGACAATTTTTGGTTGCCTGACATTATTTGTAGCGGCATTGTTCGGAAATAGTGTGTTTTTCGACTTCTAGAAACCCAAGTATCCTTTGAAGTTACTCCTACTGAGTTCGTGCCGCCGGGGTGAGTCTTAAAGAGCTTGCGCTTGTAGCGTGGTAGAGCGATTGTCAGGTGATTAACACGAGGAAGAGCTCAAAAGCAAAATTTAAGGCAAAACAATACTGAGTCCAGAGGAAACGGAAAAGGGAAAAATATGTTAACAGGTTATGAGTGCACAGCTACGTTGTAAGCGTCAATCAACTGGCGGCATGATACCTTATTGCGCATACAACGCTTGAGACATGAAAACGAAGGTTCGCAGCCCAGCAAGTCCGCGGGCCGTGTGTTTAAAACCCCGGCTTAAAAAACAAAGAAAAAAAGGTTTTTGAAACACAAGCCCATACTTCATTCTCATTCACTTCGCTGTGAATGTAAGGACTCGCGAGTTCGCCTGCACAACTAAAACACAATGTCACCATTGCTTTCCCAGTCCTGTTGGCATCCATTGCGTAGCGGAGAGCTTGGTTCCCTAAAATGCCCAACTAGCTGTTTAGTTACGCTTAAAATAATGACAAAAAGTCATTATTTTTGTTTGAAAACGCCCATTATAGCAACCAATTCTGAAAATCATGCCGATTGATGAAGGGCATTGTATGAACATGTGTAAATTAATGCTGAGTTCAGGGGAAGCTCTTCCCACCCCTTTCCACTTCAGCGGAGCAAACGGTGGAGAGGAGGTCGCCTCCTCTCCAGCGTTCTTTCTGCTGAAGTGGAAAAAGGTGGGAGGAGCTTCCACTTTATTCTTAACCTGTCACCGACTATAGTAGCATTCCACTAAAATAATGCTAGATTAGAAAATATTGCGTACACAATTGAATGTTTTATTGAAGTTCCAAATGACGAATAAAACTGCACAATTCTTAATTCGGTAGAAAAAACAACAAATATTCTGTAATTTAATTGTGCACATCAATGGCATTTTATATGTAGTTTTATGCTAAGCAAAATAAGTATGTGGACGATAAATGTTTTCTTTAATATATCCAGCTTAAATCTTTTAACATGCTATGCAAACTTCTATTCGTTCATTCCTAGAGTTCGTTTAGTTTTCAAATTAAAGGTTCATCAAATGTAGCCTCGAGCAGTTTGAGGTCCTTTAAAGGTGACTAAAAAATAATTTGGTATAGAGAAATTTACCGGATATGTTTAATCAATATGGTTTAAAACTCATCTCGCTATACCCACGAATTCGTCCTGAACTCGAAAACGAAATCACGACCAATGAAATTAAACACACCAAACTCTTTTTTTTTTTCTTTTTTTTTTTTTTTTTCAGAAACTCTGCGTCAGATAGCATGTGCGTTCGCAATCTTGCTCTGGAGGAGTGAAAAATAAGCGCACTCAAAGACAAGGACAGCGAACCAGACGACACCGAGTTCTTTGTCCCCGTATTTCATGCGCTTCTTTTTCTTTCCACGTACCAACTAGCCCAACTTTCTGTATTTTTTTTTTTCTGGTAAAGTGTTTTTTTACGAAGCACGCGTTGCATACGCAGGAACACGCTGCCTACTGCGCGGGAGTCGATTCACCGCACTGCACCAGTGTGCGATGAAAAGTGTGCTCAAAGGTGCTAGCAGTACTAACTAGCTCGTCCGACCGGACCGCAATAATATGAATAATACATTATTGTGAAACTTTGGAGCACTGCTAGCCTTTGATGCAAAAATAAAATCAAAGCCTTTTTTTTTTTTTTTTCGTAATCAACGGTTTTCGGCGGTTAGGTTAAAATTCACTTTTGGGGCAGTGTTGGTGCAGTGATGGATATATATATTAGAAGTAGCACGATAGGCAATTTGGCGTAATCTGGCACAAATAGTTTTCGTCGACCTCGCCCTTTATAGAATATGAAAAGTCAAAGTCAAATTTGGGAGTTTTACGTGCCAAACCAACGATGGGCATCTGGCACGCCCCAGCGGAGGACTGAGGATTAATTTCGACCACCTGGGGATCTTTTGACGTGCAACCGAAAGCTCGGTTACACGGCGTCTTCTCCGCAATAAGCCTCCGTCAGATTGCGGGCACCTCGGCCGGGATTCGAACCCGCCACATGGGGATCCGTAGGCCGACGCTCTCGCCTCGGAGCCACCGAGGCGGCTTAGAATATGACTGAGCGACTAAATAGTTATGCACCTTTGATTACTTATCAAAACTGCAATAGGCAGGTTTCGAGTTCGACTCTCGGAGCCTCTGGTTTCTCTAAAGCCGGGGTCACACAGCTCATACATCATACAAAAGTCTGCAAACACGAGTCGCCGCAACATCCGTGATTCGAATGCCGCGTGTCCAGTTTCCACTGAACTTATTGCCCTCGGCATTCGAAGCACGGAGCTTGCGGCGACTCGCGTTCGAATCTGTATGCAAAATGTATTTTGTATGATGTATAACTAGTGCGACCCCAGCTCTAAAGGGATGGTGAACCGAACATCTCAGTGTCTCTAATAAGCGGCGCACTATCTTTTCATGAGTCAGCAGCCGCCGGTGTGCGCGAGCAAACGCAACGAAATTTACGTCATCATATCCCCCATTCCAGCGTATTAAGCGTGAATGGGGGATAGGATGACGTCAAGATCGTTGCGTGTGTTCGCGCACACCGGCGGCTGCTGACTCGTGGAAAGATAGTGCGCCGCTTATTAGAGACACTGAGATGTTCGGTTCGCCATCCGGCCCAGACTATTGGCACGTCCCCAAATAAAAAGGAAAGGATGAGCCAATGCTGCCTGCTCGTCTGCCTGACAGCACGTGTGCAGCCAGTACTGCGCCGAATCCTTCCCCAGGGGTAGGGGCACCTCGGCGTCGCAGATCGCTTCAGAGATCCCCAAGCGTAACAATTCTCTCCCTTCTGCTCCGTGGAACGCGCAGCCTGACGTTCTCGCTCATGTTTCAAGACCTACCGTCATGTAACCAAAATATCTGAACAAATTTTCAGTAATTTTAATCGAGGAAATAGCAACCAACGAAGCCTCTCGAATACATGGAGATAAACAGCGTCTGCAACCGGAGATCAGGATCTATTTTCTCGTAAGATCTGAGAATTACAACTTCTGTATCATATAACGCCAATTCCTGCACCTGACATCCGTCCCAAACAAAATCATAAACTTTTTTTTTTTTTTTTCACGGCGAGAAGTTTGTTTTGGATTTCTGCGCTAGTTTTGCCGGTGCTGTCGTTGAAACGGTCTGTATCGCTCACAAGCCGGCCCAGTAAAGCGAGTCACCAAAGAATGCGCAGCAAAATGCATAGCATTGTCACCTATGCCAGAACAATCAATATTAGCAAAAAAAAGCCTTCAGTCTGTTTGACTTTTTTCGCGTAGTAGTAGTAGACTCAATAGCTGCTTAAGCTGAGAGGAGCCAGAAGCACAATTGCAGTGGTCTCTAAAGGGTGACAGACGTTAACATGATATGCATGGCCATCACTCGACATCAGTGCTAAGGTGCAACATCCGAGCTGCGAATGAAATAGCATTACTCGTTACTAAAAAATTAATGCGTTACCGAGATTCGTTACCGTCCTGCACAATTCGTAGATTACAGCGACGTCACGATGATGCATTACCCAGTTTGAAAGGACCAAAAACGTAACTAATTTTAATCGAAAGTAAAAGCCTGACGCAGCTTTTGCGCAGACTGCTCCCCTCGCTGGCCTCCAATAGGTGACGCCAAAAATTCAGCACTACAAAACTTTTTTAGGCTGAGGGCCAGTAAGAATAGCATCAGGATGTGCATTAGCCATTCGTACTGATAAATCGCACTATGCGGCTTTCACCTCCCGACGCAGAACCCACTTACGAGCCCAGCCACAGCGGCGGCGGAGGCAGCAGCACCGGCAGCAGCCCATGGCCCCCACAGCCCGCCGCGGAAATCGCAGCCCCAACGACGTCCCTGTACCCACCCATGCCCAAGACCAGTGCCCTGAGCCCGGCTCCGGCGTTCGGTAGCGCGCCTACGCACCCGCACATCAGCCTGTCTCAGTTCCAGAACTTCAACAGCCTGCCGAGGTCCTGGTCCCCCAGAGCCGAGAGGGCAGAGTCCTTCAGGCCGGTCAGGCCCCCAGCTGCCTTCGCCCATTGAGCGAGCCCCGAGCCTGAACTCTAACGCTAAAGCGGCGTGCAATGTTTACAAAGGCAACTTCTTAATGAGGTAGCTGAAAACGATACGAAGCCGATTGAAACATTCTGCCATGGAAGCTTTAGCACTTCGGATGGCGAGCTGGCAAGCTCGTCAACGATGCCGGTGGCTGCCTCAATGCTTGCCATCGTGGACTCGTTCGAACAAATTACCCTCCACGACCAAACTTGCTTCCTGGGATGCCTAGCTACGAAAAAGCTTATGGTTTCCCAACGTAATATCAGAAGGCAGTAATATCAGAAAACTCCACAGACGTCTCGAAAGATAGGTATCACATCTTCCTAATATTTGGCGTGTTTTATGTGAGTCAATGCTTACCTCTTATCTATAGGGCAAATCAACAATTGTCAAGTTGATGCTTCTATTCTGGCACAGTGCCTGCTACATTTCTTCCTGGAAGATGTTAGCAAAACCAAAGCGCATGCACACCCAAGTTGAAATCCCCCCAAATTTGCTATTCACGCCGCAAAGCAAATCGCTTCCACTATCGAGGGTTAATAGCCTGCTTAATAAAAAGGTGCACACAGACCACTGCACACCAGCAGGCAATAACGAATAGTTGCTTTCAAAGAGTGTCCGAGCCACTTTTGGTTTCTTGTTTGCAGTCAGTTTTAGGCGATGCATAGAAGTGTTAGTAACTGGGTGCCCAGCTCCATCAGCCCCGCAGGAATAGATTGTGCTGCTTTGAAATGGTTGCCTACTGGTCACCCCAATGGGACAAGCCGAATGGTAGATGCAACCCTCCTAGCCACTGGGCATCCATCAAAAACATGCAAGCAGCAGCCTGTACATACAATGTTGCAAGAGTTGCTGCAACCTTGCATGTCCTTTGCAGACAGGAGCAATGCTGAAGCTAGAAAGTGCTGTGTGCCGAGTGTTGAAATGCGTGCAAGTGTTGTACATACTGCATCATGTGTTCCAAGTGCCTACAAGCCCACGAGAAATAAAAGTGCTGTTGCGTTCGGAATTAGTCGTGGAAATTCGGAGTCAAGTCCACTTCACATGGTGCAATCTTTTTGCAGGCAATGCATGTATGACAGCGTGGCCATTACCATTATCACCATCATCCACCTTTTTTTTTTCTGCCAATTAGGAAAACATGCGAAGCGTCGCACATGCAATTTTGTTAAACTGTCTTTATGTCGACTGCTCCAAGCCTATTACAGAGGTCAGAGTAGTCAAACTGTTTCTCACAAATGATCAAAAGAAATGATAGAATGATTACAAATACAAAATTTGAAAGTATAAAACAGAGAGGACGAGGACGGGAACAGGACATCTTTTTCCGTCCTCGTCCTCTGTTTTATTTATACTTTCAAATTTTGTATCTATTAACCAACACGCACGTTTTCAATTGTAACGATTACAGAATTAATAAGTGTCCTTTGTACCATCAGCACAGAATGCTAGATTTCATATCAACAATATAAAATTCTCCCCCCCCCCCCCCCCCCTTTCCTCCCTTACCCTACTCCCCACCCCCCCCACGCAATCGTAAATGCTTCGCAGCACCCGGCGAGGAACCACAGTACGACAGCTTGCAGCGTAATCTTTCTTAATTTATTTTGTTTTTTTCCAGTTTCATGAAACACGGGTAAAAATAAATTTAAAACGCGCACAAACCAGAAACAGAAAAAAGAGCCACGACGTCGCCAGCGCACGCCGAGGTCGCTCCGAGTGTGCCTCCGGAGCCTGCGCCCCTCGCAAATCGGAAAAAATGTACAAGGAGACGCCGTCTAGGCGGCGTCGTCCGCCGTTGCCAAAAACAGAAGGGTCCTTACGGGCGTACAGCTCCGGGGGGAAGGCTAGGAAGAAAGACGGCAAGAAACTATTGCGTATATACACACGGGGGCTCCGCGGGGGGGGCGCCCCCCTCCCGAAACTTCCTCCCCGGGCCCACGAGGGAGCGAGCCCCCGTGCACACAAGCTATGCACTCGCGCGGGCGCTAGTCCGACGGCGATCGCAAGAAAGCGGCCCGGTGCGGCGGGCCCCCCCTCGTGCCCCGAGAGAGACTAGTGGCGTGCGGCCCAGTGCACGGCGTCCCGGGCCAGAGGTTGAGCGTGGCCCGGAGGAAGAGCGGGAGAGGGGGGCCTCTCGGCCGCCCCCAAAGGACGTCGCGGGGGCCGCGCACGGCCGCCGCCGGGCCCTTTTGGGGGGGGCGGCTAGGACTGGTAGCGCCGCCGCTGGTAGCTGTTGGCCGCCCCGTTGGCAGACTGGTCCGTGGACAGGCCAGCCTCCGCTTCTATTGCACCATCTGCGAGACCGCGGGGGCACCCCACAGTCAGCCTCCCGAACTAGAGACCCTAGATCTAACTCGACACCGTGGAAGGCGTTTGCAATTTAACGACAGATGCCTCCTGCGCAGATTGGTTGCTCGTGTGCGAGCTTGCGTTACCACCTGGCAGGGAGGATGGCAGGTCGAGATGCAGACCCAAGCTTCGCGACACTTGCAGATGGTCGACGCTTTCGCCACCTCCTTGCACCTAGTAATGCAAGCACCGTCCGTAAACACTGCGACCCGAGTCCAGCAGTTGGAAACACTCTCAAATCTGGGCACACCATCCCAAACGCCTGGAGAGAGCGGCAATCAAACCAGGTCCTCGGAAAGTCCGGATTATCTCAATTCTCCCTAAATCCTCGCTCTGCCGGCAGTTTTTTTTTTTTTTTTTTAATTATTATTTATTTAAAGAAACAAACTCCAGCGTCGAAGCATTATAGCAGGGAAACACAAAATAAAACACATACTCACGAACATAAATACAATGGCAAAAATACAATAAATACTAAATAAAAGAACACACACAAATGCTTGAATGTTCAAAAATTTAGGATACTAAAAAAAAAATCCTACGTCATCTGTAGTGAATGCTGATGCAGGCAATGAGTTCCAGTTCGGCAAAATATTTCTTTGATCTTGTTACAATTATCTATTCTGGTTGAAATATAGTTTGGTAAATCAAGATATTTATACTTCTCAATTCTAGTTAAGTTACTAAATAATAAAACTCTTTCACCTAGCTGGAGTGGGTTGACAGCTGTGACCTGCCATAAGCTCCATCCTCAGCTGAAGGAACATGCACGTGACCAACAACGCTACAGACTTTATGACACCAGCTAATATGGTAGACTGCACAAAGCTAGCAAGAAAGCAAGCATGCAAGGTGCAGGCTCATGAACTAGGACAGTGGTTCTCAAGTGGGAATCCGTGAAGGCATTCTAGGGGTCCGCAAAGCTCTGCAAAGCCCGGCAATTAAAGTTGTATTTTTTCATACTGGCATGAAACAATCCCAATTCTCGGGTGTGTTTTCTCGTGTGTATACCAACGAAAAATGTCTACTTCACACAATCCCTTAGCTTTATTCGTTCATTAAGTCATTATCATACTTTACTTAAATATTTCCTCTCCCCTCACCACAAAAGGGGTCCTCCATCATATTTGCCGATCCACAAGAGGTCCGCGAAACATCAATGGTTGAGAACCACTGAAATAGGGTAATAGCTTGGACCTCATTCGTCCAAGCATCACTGTTCCGTATCGTCATAGTCTATTACACCCTCGCAATAAACACTTTCGTTTCAGATTTTAGAAATTTAGAATTGCGTGCAAGTGTGATACAATAATGGTAATTTCTCAATGTAAAGTTCCAATTTGGATGATGCCCTATTAAATAAGTCATATTAAAAGATCTTAATATTTACACTCTATTACCAAACATGAATCCCACATTTTGTTTGGTATGTGTGCAAAGCGTTACACTCGATGCTCGGTCAGAAATGCAAACAGAGGAATCAGAAAATCAATATCCGTGCAACCTGAAAACAATAACCACAACACAAGAAGTAGGTCCACACACACACAAAAAAAAGAAAAAAACATGAATAATAATGCAAGATGTTACTTCTTATTCAGCTTACAGATCAACAAACACTTAAAACTAAAATGGCAACATCAAAAGAAAAAAAAAACGTAAAATCGGATGTTGTTTCTATATCATTAACCTCAGACGAGCGACTCCTACATGGGTTCCATGCCACATTCGACCATGCCTCATCCTGACAGCCGACAGCCTGGAGGCAATGCCACCTCACTGGAGCTTCTGGAGATATTCCGCCGCAAACTACCGCCATTCTGGACCAAGAATATCAAGGTCTGGTTGGCGCAAGTGGAGGTGCTATTTTAACTACAACATAGAATGTAAGATATGTACGCAGCTGGATTGGCACACAATAATTATCAGCTAATTGAAGTTATTGTATATGGTTGCTCTGTTGAAAGCCGGCCTTAAAGACGGACGACCAGGCTCGATATTCTGCAAGGCTTTCCTTCTCTCACGTCTTCGAACAAGGGAAGCAAAGGATGGAAAGAAGGGACTAAGAAAGTCTGGCACGAGTCTTCACGCACCATTCAGATGTGAATGGAGATATGCCTGCAAAAACGGAGCCCCCACAATGGACACATCACAATCTGCACGCCCAAGGATTAACAAAGGAACCTTTTGGGACCAGGAGACGAGAATAGAGTTTGTTTGTCATACTGCGCGGTTTGTCTTCTCTTCACTGGGTGCTTCTTTGATCACCACAATTTTTAATCAACGTGAATTGCAATATTTTTAAAGTAACTGCTGCCCCCTGTCGGAAGCCCGGATCAGAATGCAATGACATGAAAACAGGAGGGCCCGAAGAAAGGAAGAGTGAAGAAGCTTCTTTGTAAGAACTTCAGGACAAAAGATAAGCTGCACATTAGCCACGATTTCAACAAAGGATGTGGGGGGAACTCAATCACTCACGCGCCACTGCATTTAGGAAGCACAATCTATCCCCTCCTCTCAGGAGGCCTCCCGTGGCTTATTTCACTCGAACACACAATCACATGTTTTATACTTGCAACTTTTGAGCCAGCATCTGCCTGGGGCTAAGCATGCACAAAAAATGTATTCTAAATCGTGGACATCTCCTCGACACAAAAAAAAACAAACAAAGAACAATATGAAGCACTAAAAAACAAGAAACCACTTTCAGTCGTATTTACCAAAGTCGCACTCCCCTCAAAAAGAAACCACAAAAGGAACATTAAAAAAATACCAGTGCACGGCACTGCACACTGACTAAAATGCTGTACTGACGCCAACACTATTGTATCTTACGGGCTCAAGGCAGCATGTCAATCATGTTGGGGTTGTATCCTAATTTCCCCCCTTTTTGTTTTCTAGTTGGCTTGGCCTGGATAAGCTTAGTTTAGCAGGAGTAGGGGATGAGGTGGTAGAGAGGGGGGAAGGGAGCGGAGAAAACAAGCAACACTCAAAAGGGTAGAAGGATTGAAAGGAGGAAGCGAGAGAAAAGGGGAAGCGCAAACTGGTCGTCTCTGCATCCTATAAGGGGATGCACCCCAACATAAATATTAGTCTTGTGCGAATAGTGGATTTTGAGTCCGAAGCCAATTCGAAGCGAATAGTGGTTTTGGCCGAATATTTTCGATTCGAATATCGAATAGCTTTTTCCTTGCCTTTCACTACCATTGCATAATGCTTAGACGAAAACCCAGCTAAACCTGTAAAGGCTATTCCACTTTTCCATTCATAAGCTAACCTTAATCTATCTGTATTTATAGAACTGTGATCTCAGAAGGTCTAGTGTCTTTGTAACGGCAAGTAAACGACGGATTTGACATAGAATGAATCCTATATAGATGGCCAACTATACCAATTGAGTGAATTTACAAATATTGATATATAAAATATTCTTTCTTTAATCTCAAGTTCAAAAAAAATGAGTGGCGCATGATGAACACAGGTTGTAAAAGCATCTCTGCCTAACATAGTATACTCTTCCATAAAAGTTTAATTTTGAAACTTTCACTACAATGCAGATATACACATTCACAAAGTTTTCATTTATTTTTAAAGAGTCGGCCCGGGTGCACCATCCCGCTTTGAATGTATGCTTTTCTTGAGCACGCAATTATGATATTGTTCATCGCGGAGGGTTACCACGTTAAGTGCGCTTCTTAGCGAGCACCGATGCCATGCGGAGAAGCAACACCCGCGGAACTCACTTCCGCGGGTTTTGCTTCTCCGCAGCGCATCGGTGCTTGGTAAGAAGCGCACTCAACGGGGCTAACCCGCCGTAATCAACACTTCGAAAAATGTGAATAGTGCAGTTCATTTCGAAGTGAATATCAAAAAGTGTATTATTCGGAAATGCTATTCGAAATTTCGAATATTCGCACAACTCTAATAAATATACAATCATCCTCTTCCCTATGCTGGGAAGATGAAAACATTGAAAAGCAAGGCACAAAGTGATAAGCATTCCCTTAAAGGGGATGAACCACCAAGTGAACGTTACCAGTCCATAGAAGCTTGTGCAGTGTGTGGAGCAAATGAAGGTTCAGTTAAATAACATATATTCATTCTTAACAATCTGCATAAAAAAAACTGTTCTAAATCACCATTTTCAATTTTTAGTTTTAGATTACGATTGATGTGAATTTCTCTGCCTGAGTCACTAGCTAGCAGATTCAAATCCTAGCCGAGACACCAGCAACCTGATGAAGGGAGACTGAGTTGTAGGCACTGCTCAACCACAACTCCAGCTTCAAGTTAAAGGTCTCCAAGTGGACGAAATTATTTCTCTCGTCGTTGAAGCACGACAGATGTCATTCGTTTGTTTGGCACATGAATTTCGTCTCGTATAGCGGTCCGACTCAATTGTCTGACCGCAGGCGACCGTTCGGAGAACGCCGTTTGTGCCCCAAAGCCAGAAGTCTGGTGCATTACTCTTAGGAGGTCCGGAAAGAGGAAAGACGGTGTCCAGGGCTGCCCCCCAGGGGAGGGGGCAGCACAAGGAGGACAGAAAGGGGTTTCAGACGTGCCTTGGTGTGGTTACCTTGAGAGCCGTGGAGGGCGTTGCGGCCGGACGTGCCTATGCTGTTGTGCGTCTGCTCATACTCAAGCACTTCCTTGTAGATCAGCTCTGCAACACCGGAAGCACACACGGTCAAGTCAGAGCCCGGCAAGGCGAAAAAAAGAGAGCGGGAAACGCACCCTTCCACTGTTCCACCGTGTGTTCCCGCTCGTCTACCGAGTGGTCGTAAGCCGCCGGGGCTGGCTGCAGGGGGAAGAAAAAAAAAAGGACACAAAGTCACCAACAGGCACCTCCTACAAAGTCCTAGGAAGATGACGATTAGATAAAAGAATGACAATGCACAAACCGAAGAATATGGAAAGAGCATATGTTAGACGGAAACAAAGGCAATTGCCCAAAAGCGACCACACATGCTAAGAACCTGAAAATTGGCGTTCAAGAAGGACAAAAAAAAAAAAAAAGGCCCGAGGTATACCTAAGCACTTCTTACGAGTTGTGAATGCAAAAGAATGAACGGCACTCTTCGCTCCCTTCTTTAATCTGTGGTGCACAACGCGCTGACCTTGGGCGTGGAACGGTGGAGCTGCTGCCTCGCGGAGACGCAGCGCCACTGGGTGAGCGATCGTTCAAACTGCCGCGTGCCTTGCGGCGCAAGGAAGAAACAGACAGCAACGTAGTTCCCAGCAGAACCAACCTTTTGGCTTATTCCATGCGCCGTACAACCCATAAGAGGTGAGCATACGCGGTGATCAGCGATAACACAACAGTGTGATAACACAGTCAGGATGACACCATAAAAACTGACGCGCAGCAGCCAATGGGAGCCTCATCGACGCACGCCAGCCAATGGAACCACCGAAGTGTAAAAGGTGCCGTTGGCTAGCTCTGCAAAGCTGATGACGTCGGCTCACTCCACGAAACAGTTAACGCTTTCGCATTAAAAAATGATGTGTCGGAGAAACACCCAATTTGTAAGGAAATGTAGCCAGAGCTGCCAGGAGGGGTGAGGGAACAAACAAATAAAAGCATGTTGTCTTCTCCGATACACTAAAACCCTTCAATGAATAAAGTTAATTTACTATAACAAACATTTTTACGGCCGCATTCGCCCGAATCCAGGCCAACATTTATATTCATAAAGAAAATGAAAGCAATACGCACAAGAAAAGCAGTAAATGATGCAGCACAATAAGCTTAAAGAAGCAAGTTTCCGGGGGTTCGCGTGCCAATCCAAGGAAGGGCATCTGGCAGGCTTCAGCAAATCACAGGATTAATTTTTACCACTTGGAAAGTTTTTAATGTGCAACCGCACCTTTGGTTACACAGCATCTTTTCCGCAACAAGCCTCCATTGGCTTTCACACATTTCGGCCGGGATTTGAACCCGCCAATCAGTACGGCCGAGATTTGAACCTGTCAATCTGTAGGCCGACGCTTTGCCTCGGAGCAGCAGTTACCGATCGATTGGGGAGCATTGATTGCATCCGTGGTGTAACTCTAACGAGGAGACCTTAAGGGGGGAGGCTGGTCTTTAAATGGTACAAAGTTGGGAAAAAGTCATTTTTGAGAAAATGGCTTTTCTGACGTTTAGACATATCCACCCAGCTCTGTTTAAAATATCATTGCTCTATCTAATTTCCATATATGAAAGAATGTATGAAGTCTTAATTTGCTATGAACATTCAGTATGAATACACATCCTACTTCAAGGGCTTTTTCACTTTTTTTCACAAGTACAGTATAGACCACTTACAACGTAACCGCTTATAGTGCAGGACCGGGTATAACGCGTTTTTTTTAAACCACCGGTTCGCCTCCCATAGAACTCTATGTAATTACATACCGCTTAAAATGCAGGCGCGCGAAGGGAAATACCGGTTATAGTGCGGTTTCTGGCACAGCCCGCCGACCGCGCCGACGACCGGAGCAGCGAGCACGCTTCCCTGTGCGACACTAGATAACGGCGCTGACGGCACTAGCTGCAAGCGGCACTCGCGGGGCAAGGAGGGTGCTCGAAGAAGCGGTGAGAAGCGAAGAGAGGCTTCAGTTGCCATAGCGACGGAGGGACGCACGCACGTGTCGTTCACGTGCGTGCTTCCCTCCGCTGCGTTGGAAACAAACAACCCCAACGACAGACCAATCGCAGGTCCAGGAAAAGTGTTCGCGCGCGTTGCATGCCGGTCGCGGGCCGGCTGCTTCTATCCGCAAACATGGTGTCGGTTGTGATCGTCGTAGTAGACGGCGTTCATCTCATCGTTCCGCGTAAAAGCGCTATCCTTGACTGTGAATTTTCGTTGTGTGTCGCTATGATAACCCAGCACGTACTAGAAGGGAAGATCCACCTACGCGTGCGGCGATGTCGTGGCGGCGCTCTCAAGACGGCAGAAATGCCCGTGTCGTTGTGTTTGTTTACTTCGACTACAGTGGTGATTTCTAAGCATTTGTGTCCTCGAACATCGCCCAGATTTCTTATTTGGCGCATTTCATGCGTGTGCTCAAGTTCAAGGTATTACTGGCGCGTACCGTATGAAGGATGCGAATTTTCACGCGTTTTCATCTCCGGAGAAAAGCTAAAACACTGAGTAAAGAAAGGAAGAAAACAAGGGCAGGGCTGGAACTGAATCCCGTTGCACACTCACCGCGTTCACTTCAGTCTCGTCGAACCATACGTTGATGTACGGGTGGGCCAAGGCGTCGTCCACCGAGATGCGCCTCTCGGGATCGATCACGAGCATCTTCGACAGGAGGTCGCGCGCCTGGCTCGCTGCATTTGGGGAAACACGCCAAGAGCTGCTTACATGTGAGAGCTAGAGTAACTGAGTGGCCCAGTCAGAGTCTCGCATTTTTTTTCCTTTCGCCACTAACTCCTCATTGATGAAGAAAGTATCACATGCTCACAAATGAATTAAAGGAGTGCAGTGAAGTGGCCCTGCAGAGTTTTTGGCGAAACATATTATTCACATCGTGTTCGCAAAATTTAGTAGGTCAAACAAGCTAGAAACATTTTGAAAAAAAAAAAAAAAGACTGGGTTCTGTGTGTTTATACAGCCTAGAACTTGGTCTGCCTCACAGGGGCGACGAGTCTCCCAGCTGTAGATGAGCAATTTAGCCAGTGCGGTACAGCCGCTAGCCTGGGGTCTTTAACGTGCATCACGCAGTAGTGATACACGACCGCACGCCAGTACGATGCTCATCCAGATCGAAACGGGTCAGGGGTGGGGCTCGAACCCAGGATCCCCGAGTTCTGCAGCGCGAGCTTTCCCTCCACGTGCTCCGAGCTGATGAGCGCTAGACCACTCGGCCACCGATCCCCCCAGAAGCATTTTGAACCTCTGAATGTTGCATGTGCCAGTTGGATAAGGTGTAACTGTGTTTTATTTCTAATGCGAGCACCATTTTAATACGGCCTACAATAAGCAGACAAGGATAATGAAGTGCCTGAGAGGAATAGGAGCGCACCTCAGTTTTAACGTCGACCAAGGTTTGTGCGCCGCACGCCACCACGCCTTCGGCCACTGACGGTTGCTTCCCATAATACTTGGATCAAAGAGGGAAGGCCATTGCGATGCTCTGCTCCACAAGTGGAGTGTGTACAATTATGCTACCTAACCCTGTGTCCAATACCCGACGCAAGTGCTCCCGGCATTTGCACTTTGGTGCCAGCCAGAGCCCAGCCCTAGGTGACACGGGCTGGCGGGACTGTGGTTCCATGATGCAATATTTTGGGAGTAGACAAGCAATGTGCAACTACAGAAAGTATTAAAGGAGCTGTGCAACGATTTTAACGTTGAAGGAATTGGCATTTTCTGCTTTTGATATTGTTCACTGTGTCACAAATGGCAGAAAACACACCTCTTTTCATCGCAATGTTGCGATTCCGCCGCGTAATAGCGAGGCAAAACTTGGAATATTTCCCGACCTGCAGCCACGAGCGGCGGAGAAACAAGCGGCGTGACGTCACTTGGGTCGTTGTAAGAAAGATAGCAAGTTGTGCGAATACCTGCTCGATAAAAGGTAACTCTTTTTACAAATCTTGTCGTTCCAACATATATATAAATGCGTCAACACCCTAGTATCATCGACAAAACTTTTATTATACGGAGTTTTAGTGGCGCCATCTATCCTAGGTCCACAAAACCGCGAACAGCCGCCAGAAGCCGGAGGGGGAGGGGGACAGCGCCACACTGGCAAGGACGGGTGGTCACGCGGTCGGCAGCGGATGAGTTCTCGCTGCTCGCTGATGGCTCTAAAGAGAGAACTTTTCCGGAACTCCGCGCCTACTCTAGTGACGTCACTGTGCACGTGACCCGGAAGACGATGCACGAGTTGAGAGGCGGCAAAAACCTGGATCTTTTTCATTTTTTTAAGTAAAAACTAGGGTATCCAGGCAAAATCTGTTTTCTGTAGTTCACTGCAGAAGTGTCAGGCATCAACTTCCACAATTATTTAAGCAAAGCCCTGAAATTGTTGCACAGCTCCTTTAAGCTCGTTATACAGTACCGCACATGATTTGAGTATGGATCAACCCAGATAGAGGGTGACAGTAGGATCAGCAGGGACAGCTCCTCATTTGTGCTGTACTGCAAGCTTTGACTATTTTCCACTTGCATGGCAATGGGGCAACCTTACTAGGCTCAGAAAAATAAAATGGCCTAAACCAAGGGCCTCACACAAGTGGCCCGCGACTCTCTAGGACGTGGCCCGCAAGCATCCCGCGACTGCAAGTGCCCGTTTTCCATGCTCCGAGCGCTACAGACACCATAAATTATAGATTCATATCATAGATTCCCTTTCCACTCGAAGAAGAGCTCTACCTAGATGACGTGTTCACAGATTTTGCACTATTATGTTTTTTTGGGGACTGAGTATTGCTTCATCTAAATATTTGCTTCTTGGCCCTTCGTCATGTAAGTCAACCGAAAAAATATTTGCTTCTTAGCCCTTTCTCATGTAAATCAACTGGAAAAATATTTGCTTCTCAGCCCTTTTTCATGTAAATCAACCGAAAAAATATTTGCTTCTCGGCCCATTCTCATGTAAATCAAACCGGAATGACAATACCACTACAGTGATGTGTCTCATTAATATAGGCATTTCTGTTTGTCATAAAAAGCATCCATAATGACAGTTGTCCATAATAAGGAGTTAAAAATGCATGCATTTACCCTGCTTGTCCCCGGAAACGTTGTCTATCTAGCGGGGAATCCATATTAACAGAGTCCATATTAATGAGACACGACTTTGCTAGGCTACAAGTGCAAACTCTTTACTCAAGAGGGCACCTCGACTACCAAAACACTCGCTCGGCATGAGCGAGTGTTTATGTCATCTCGGGCTTCTAACAAACAGAAAATACCTTTAAAATATGAGTATTTTTGTTATATTGCTACCATAAAAATCGCCAAGAAAGGAAAAACTGCCATTTGAAGAGATCTTTTTCCATTGCCTGTTGAGCCGAGTGAATTGTGCGACAGGGCAACGACAGTGCGCTCACTTTCGTTCTATTGAAAACTGCCAGCAGATGGGCTTTTTTTAATTTTATTATTACAAAACGACGAGCTTACAAAAAGCTGAGAGCAGAAAAATCTCTGTGCTGTTGCAGTGAGAGTCGGCTGCTTTGCAAAGTGAAACACCATTGCTCTCTTTTGTACCGAAATACCAAAATATTGTCCACCCCCAGCCCTTCCCCTCCCCACATTGACCCTCGACCTTTCGAGGGTGGGCTATGTGGCCTCCAATCTCAAACGAGTTTGAGACGCCTGGCCTCAGCTATGCACCAGTCTACTAAGGCAAGGCACTAAGGCAGTGAGGAGAAGGGGAAAGGAGGGGTAGCAGGAAGGAGAGCAGGGAGAACCTGTGCCCAGGTCACTCAGTTATACAGCATCAAACACTATGCCCCAAGTTCTCAATGAAGGCACAAACGAATAAAATGAATACTGGAAGCTCCTTTATGATTCCATTACTTTGAGAAGAGCGTCCAGGTGGAATATAAGCTCTTATTCATCCACAAGCATGTCTGCCCCTCCAAGCCAGACAGCAGCACTCTTAAAACAAAAAGAGAGGCCGAGGGGCGACAAAGGGAAAGGGAAAGAGATAGAGAGAGAGCATCCAGCCAGCTACGCACCCTTGAGCTTACTGTGCTCGGGGCTGTCGCTGGGGAAGAGGACGTCCGGGAAGAGCTTGTCGAAGGGGTAGCCTGCATACCGGGGACGGTTTTCCACATAGTTGCGCACTGTGGGCTGCAGGCGCCGCATGAACTCCTGGGACGGGGTGCCCAGCTGCTCAATGATCTTGTTCCACTGGTCAATGTCTGGCCAATACGAAGGTCAAGGGAGCAGACGACATGCAGGGCATACACAAGTCTCGGGAGGAGGGACAAGCAATCCGTCCCATAGGTTCTCTCCCCCATATTTAGCATGAATTCCTGACTGTTGTTGAGGAAGCGGCACTAAGAGCGGCAGTTTTAGCACATGCACCAAATCTTTTTTTTTTTCATTGGAACTGAAAGGCTGCCGTCTGCTAGGGTGCTAGTTCGGAGCAATAAAATTTGACGTCCACCTATATAATATTTTAAAGAAAAAGGCCAAAAGTGCCGAGTTTATGTTCGCATTTACAGCAATGTGAAGTCTACCTAACATAGGTGACATGACAGCACCAATTTGCAGTATGAGGCACCTTACATTTTAAATATTCGAAAAATGAAGAGGTTAGACACAGAACAGCAAGTTTAAACTCCCCTCCATAGAACAAGCTTTTTCTATGAATGCTCTACGACAACAAAATTCCAGAAGCCGGGTAAATATAAATAAGAGTTCCTCCCAGAGAGGAAAAGGATACGGTCCGTGCCCGGAAAGAGGACCGCACCTCGGATCATCTCCCCCATGATGCAGCCGACCGACCAGATGTCCACTGCAACGGTCACGCCAAGTTGAGTCAAACAACACTGCTACAGCGACAGGAGAAGAATGCAATGAAAAGTGGGTGCCCACCATTTTCCTTGTAGCCCATGCCTAAGATGACCTCTGGGGCCCTGTAGTAGCGGGTCACCACGTAGGGGGTCATCATGAAACTGGTGCCGGCTGTGCGAGCCAGTCCAAAGTCCAGGATCTTGAGCGTGCAATCTGATTTCACCACTATGTTGCTCGGTTTCAGGTCCTGCAGGGGACCCAAGCCCACGACCCCGGTGAGAGATGCCCCGACTCACTCGGGAAGGAACCCCCAAAAAAGAGCTTGCATTGCTCAGTCATTTGCCCTTCTATGGTTCACAGACTGCACGCCTACAAGTGCATTCTCGTTCTAAACCTTCACGCAATGTGGCGGCACCAGTATGTAGATAAGGCATCCTCAAAATGCTCCGGGTCCTACACTACGCCGCTGGCTTTACGACATATTCAAAATGTAGGTATACACTGTGAGATAGTCATTTCAGACATTGCGAACCATTTAATAGCTATGCCGGAGGAAAGATGCACAAATACAGGTCAGGGTGACCAATACATTTCCTCAACAAGTTTGTTGTCAAACAAAAAGAGGGTGCAGAGGTCCCCCGATTGTGGTAAGTAGTTCTAGCAAGACATCATTCCTACCTTCAAAAACAAAAGCAGAAAATAACCGATCATTTCCAGCCACACACGCAGGTATTCTGTACGATGCTTGTACGATTTTTATAAGGCCCCTTCTTTTTGCAGTATTTACGAGCCGTCACAGCCAATCCAGTGCCATTAACATATTACGTGACTATATCTCTGTGCCCCTCCCACAGGTAGCGTGACACTTGCACGGCATTGGATTGGCTCAAACGGCTCGTAACGCCCCCTGCAGTCCACCGTAACGTGAAATAGAGTATAGTGCCGAGCGAATGATTTGCAGAAAATGTGAAAGTGATCAAGGACGAGCCTCACATCAACATAGCCCTTTCAGTAGAGCGCTTTCTCAAGGGACGGTGGTTAAAAGACAAAGCTGCAAAGTGCACACAAGGAAACGAGCGTGCCAACACATGCAACGGAGGGCAGAGAACCAGACGGAGGGACGCACCCTGTGGATAATGCCAGCCAAGTGTAGGTGCTTGATGCCACAGAGCATCTGGTAGAGCAGGTAGGACATGCGCTCGTGATCCAGGTCCATCTGGATCACCTGGCACAGGTTGGCATCCATCAGCTCCATCACCAAGTACACGTCTTGGAACTCTTCTAGCGTCTTTTGTGGTGTGAATGCATTTAGAAGACCTATGATCTGCCATCGGGGGAAATGGAGGTCACGGGTCAGGGCGGCAGTCAGACACTTGCAGAAAGCAAAAAGGGAAAGACCACCTACATTTTTATGGTTAACCAGCTTCATGAGTTTGAACTCGCGGTAGGCCCGCTTGGCATGGGTCACATTCTGGAAGGGTCGGCTCAACTTCTTGATGGCCACATTGTGACCAGTCACGGAGTCATAGGCCGCACTGCAACAGACAGGGGAGATGTCAACTCTCGGTGGGGCATGCAAAATCTTCGCCTTCGCAGAAGCCCAATGTTGCGCCCGAATCACAAGCAGGTCATCAGCTCGGTGCATGCAAAGCGCAATTGAACAACACTTGAAACGACACGAGCACTGAGCTCCAAGATGGCTGGCTAGTTGTGGAGGATGCCCAGATGAATGAAAGCCTACAGAAGTAAAGTTTTAAATCTGGTCCCAAATCAGCACCTAGTGTTTCTAAATTCCCCAATGAAAGTTGAAAATAAAATTTCACTGGCATGAGCTCAAAGCTTAGCTTGAAATTAAACAGCTTGAAATTATCTAGACTGAGTTTAGCCTCACCCTTGTTCTACGAGGGGCATGTAATGCGCGACAGCCAGTGAGTGGTATCTGTAATACCTTGAGCATATTCAGTTACAGAGTATGAGGGTGACCTTGTTTCATATACCACAAGTCTTAGGAAACAAGTCCTCGTCAGTTTGTGAAGCAAGAGCAGTGCTACAAAAGAAATCCGATGAAGAGTCTCACCAGACAATGCCCTGTGCGCCTGAGCCGATGGACTTGAGGTTCTGGTACCTCCTCAGGATGGTAAACTTGGTGTCGTTCACTTCAAAGGTGTAGAAGAGGCTGGAGTGCTTGGACATGGCTCTGGGCCACCGCTAGACCTGCTGACGTGATCCCTGCCACGCCATGCCCCGCCTCCAGGGCACCCTGCAAACCACAACACTACTACGTAAGGACCTCGCCTTAACAAAACTCGACAAGCTCTTTGATCAGCAGAATAAGACAAATCTCATAGAAATCTGTCCCAAATTTCCTACTCTATTGTATGCAAGTCACCCATTTTCATATCTGCCTATTTAAAAACAGATGTAGGGTAACCGTAGCATTATATACATACCGGGAGAAAAGCAGGAGGAGCTAAAATCTTCTGCTATTAAAGGCAAGCTGAATTGCATCATGAAAAAAAAAAAAAAAAAAAAAGGAGTCAGAGTTGAATTTTGGCGTATTTTAATCTTGTGAATCGAAATGTCACATTCGTTTAAGATGCAACTAAACGTGAGAAAACGTAAAAAACTTCCAATCAGTCGTGACGTCATACTAGGATCTTTGGGCCACCAAGCGAATGTCGCTCGTGTGGGCAGCGTGTGCAATTGCAAGCTTGCCAGGTATATTACCCCGCACTGAAACCAGTCGCGACGTCTCTTTCCGACGTTTTTGAAAAATGCAAGAGTGTGCAAGGAAAGCTTTGACAGGCGCTGATGATGCGCGAGAGCGGAGATTTCGAAGACTCCCAATACGACATACCGCCCCAGGAGGAGGGGCCAACGGTACTTTAAAAATTAATTTCTGCAGCCTCCGTGCACCAAAATTGAAAAATAATCTCGATATTTGTGATCCTGGAGGCCAAATGATGACAATTTAGGTGTTTTTCCTTAAATACAGAACCGCCTATTCCCTTTAAAGAAAACATGAAGGCGGCCACTAATTTTTTTTTGTAGAACTCGGTAACATTTACTCTTGTGCCTGCCAATAAATTTAATAAACCAGAACAAACATTTACATTTTTTTTTTCTTTTTTTGCCTCTGCAAAGGAAATTGACGTCGAGGAACACTGTTCATTTTTAGTAGGATTTAGTGAACACTCAGCGCAGTTCCCACGGTTGGCTATAGTGCATGGCGATCTATGAAGAAGCAGCCATATTAGTTGTTGTCGGACTCAACCTGAAAAAAAAAATGGACAATGCCGCGCTCGCAAACAAGTTTGAGCTCCTGTTCAGCGACCTCATGCCGACGAAACGGGAGATGCTTCTCAGGACGTGAAACTCTGGATTGGCACTTTACGAGGGGACTCCAGACTTGCCACTGACTCCTCGGTCGCCGCCTCCAAATGACACTCCGCCCGACTCGCCACCGTCATTCGTTTCAACCAATCGCCTGACGAGGAGCCTGTTGTCGTTATGCTTCGACGTCGCCCAGCGCACTTTAGTTCACATTTCTGCTGCCGCCTCGGCATCGGTATTGTTCCCGGCGTGATTATTACCCCAACTGTTTAATTGATTGGTGCAGCACCCAAAAGTCTGTTCGAGCTAGAACTTGGCCAACAGCGTCCGAGACGTGCCTGACACCCCCATTTCAATCGTCGAAAAAAACTTCCAGATCCCCTTCGTGATTTCTATAAACTATGACAAGCAACATACTCATTGTAACAATCTCAATCCAGCCAATTCTGATGTATCTTCTAGATTGTAGTCGTTGCACGAAAGATATGTCAAGTAAGATTTTCTAAATACATCTCGAAGGCAAAGGAAAAAAAAAACTATTCAATGAGGCCAAGATAGCAATACCAGAAATATTCAGTAATATATGCCACATGCAAACAGATTCTCATTTAGATTTCAAGCACTAGCATCAATGAGCACTGCTCATATATTTGTAGCCATCGTGCAAATTATGGCCAGCATTAAAGAGCCTGAAATATCCCACATAAAGCCCACCAATGCCAGAGATCCTAGTGCTGAGACAAATGTGCCTCAGCACCCATATCTTCTGCAAAGAGCCCAAAGTGTCTCAAGTAACGAGATCTGGTCCAACAGCCTCGGTCGTTCCTTCATAACAAACTCAGATGTTTTAGACACGAAATGCCTAGCACAGCAAGCATTCAAACATCTTGAGGGAACATTAGAAATGAAACAAGGTTTTCCAAGGGTGCCAATAGATTCCTTTGTTTGCTCTTTTCCACTCAGGGTGGAGCAACATCAAGCATTGAATATACAAAAACTTCTTCCTCTTGAAGCTGGGAAAGATGAAACTATCATCAGGGCAAAAAGGGCAAGTTGGCCAACAACCCTCCCTTGGTAACAAGCACCGGCAGGATTTAAAGTGCTACTATAGCCATGGCCAGACGCCCATCTGATATGCCCCCAAAACCGACTCTCTAACTCGGTCTCCAGAATTTCTTTATCAGACAGACTGACATGTCAAAGCGAGCATACCGAGCTTGACAGCATGGGCCCTAATGCTAGCTCACAGGACTGGCAGTGCTTCCCAGTACTTAGATTTAATTCCTAAGATCCAGAAACTTGCTTCAGTGCTCAATCACTGCCAGAAAATGTCTTGCAACCACCGCACCTTGCGAAACACAAAACATCTCAGGAATGAACAATTTTTTTCTTTTAAACCTGCCATTTTTAAGGTGTAAAATGACACTGCTGTAGACTTTTTGTTCAACCAGTAAGTCAGCCAGTGCCTGCCTGAACCTACATAAGGGCACACAGCGATCTGAGTTTTCAATGCATATATTTCTAGACCGGTCTTTAACTTAACTCTTACCTGCTGTCACCAAGACAGCAGACTAGTTTCAATGAGAAAGCACTTCCCTGCTTTTTATATCAGACTGGCATCAAATTACAATAACTCATTGTTTATTGTGCTGCTTTTTTACAAGAGTGGTATATACCAGTCCATATGTAAAATTGTCCGATAGATAAAAAAACCAAAACGAGTTTGTTCAATGAATACATTTTGAAATGTGTCATGCAAATTTTACTAGGACTTTGTTTTCACTTCCCAGTCATCTAATAGCATAGCATATCTTGGAAGTGTGGGCCATTTGACATATAATGCTAATTATCTGACGTGCCTCTGTAGGCTTTCACTTCTCTTAGGTTGATTCCATGCTAGCTTTCCCCAAACACTGTATGGCAACGTGGCAAATGCTACAAGCATGCCATCCATGACACGCGCCACAATCCTACTGGTGACAATTTTGGTTTGTCTTCACCAAAACCACCAGTTTTGAAGAACTTGCATGACTAACTTAAAGGGATGCTGAACCGAAATCTGGACTCCCCAAAACACGCGGCAAAAGCGTGCAACGGGATGCTACAAACACCAAAACATCACTCATACAGCGATATCTCGAACGGATGACCATATTTTTTCAAAAAGAAGCGCATTTGGCAGGAATGTTGACGTCATGTTTCTCTGAGAAGGAGAGGGAACGGCCTCGTGTCTTCTCCGCCTTGCGGCCTTGAGGGAGCGAAGCAAAGAGAGGAGGAAACTAGGTATCTTGACGTCACGCGCCTCGTCGGCCTGGTTCAATCTCGACTTCTTTTTCCAAAAATACAGCCGTCCATTTGTGATATCGCCTTACTAGTAGTGTTGTAAGGATTGTAGGGTCCCCCGCCTACATCTCCAGCATTGTTCTTTTTAAATCCAAATTTCGGTTCACAATCTCTCTGAATGTCCAGATATTCAAGACATCCTTTGAAACTACTTTACTGTCTCCCTAATGCATTAGCCAGCATTTATTTTATTTTTTTTTGCTGAGCTATATACTAGAAACAAATGTACAAACACCATCCAACATAACGAGAAGTTCTAAATAAGGCCTACAGTCACTGACAGGGCAAGAAGTGCAGGGTACCTCTTTCAGAGCATGAACTCACTGTTGTCTATCAATCCACAGCAGCTGTGTGTGCACGCTCCATGCTCAAGAGACACTCAAACTGTTAACGAAGGTAGGATGTTTGCACCAAATGCATTACAACAGAAAATGCTTCCTGTCATTCATACCTCGAATCTTTACAGCGACTTAATTTTGTGAACATAAAACCATAGAAGTTTCTATGCGAAGGAATCGGCCAAAAATGGAGAATGCATGTCGTCTATGAAACTGTTCACCTCCAGTTGAGAATTGTTGTTCCTAAGCGGCACTTCGTAAAATTCTGGAAATACCGAGTGTATGAACGTGGAGAAAGCGGTTGGCAGTACATTTCCATAAGCCTGCAAAGTTTTCTTCACACTCGATAGTATAAAATAAATTTATATATCCATAAGTTCTATTTAAACAGACCTTAAAACGTCCGAGCCAGCAGATCTATGCGGGCAGAAATTTGAGGGGGAGGAGACAAGAGCACACGGAAGAGCCGTATATTGGGAGAGTTTGGCCAGTGGGTGCAGCGACAAAGGCGCTGGAGAGGAGAAAAGTGAGGGAAAGGGAGGAGAGCGCCAAAGGAGCGAGCGAGAAAGAAAGCAGCAAAGAGGAGACGACCGCCATTTTGACGCAAAGCTGTCGGCGCCGAGCACTGTTGAGGCTACGCGTCATCTCCTACGGGCTTATTTCTTTTTCGCCTGAACAAAAGTTTGCATTCAAACGTGGAAAAACTTCCTTCGATAGCTTTTTAAGCCACAGAGAAATAACGTTATCACAAACTCAACTCTCCTACGTCACGCTGGGGCGGTGGCGTGTCGGGCGCACTTCCGGTCTGGGGCGGTGGGCAGAAGTCGCCGTGCGGGACACGCATTCCTGTGTTCTTCCTGGAGAAACCAGACAAAAAACCTACCTTCTCGTCAATATGCTACGACGCGGGCTGTACCAAGAGGGTCTGGAAAGGTTTGAAGATAATTTTTTATGTGTTTCTGCCCCCTCCGTTTGTCCGAGAATGTGGATAGTAGCCGTGAAAAGGGCAAACCAGACGCTGTCGAACTACGATTGCTTGTGCGGGCAACACTTTGTGGTCGCCAGATGTACTTGTTTTGTTCCAACCTGAACGAGAACCGCCAAGTTGTCCGGACCCCCCCGCGGGTTCAGTGCGTCTTCAAATTCACACGGCCGCCGGATCGTTCCACTTTCGTCTGCTCTTTCAAACATGTCTGCTTTTTGTCGTCTGCTCGTTCCAACAAAAGCGGCCCGTAGACCAAACTTTGACCCGGTGATTGCAATAAGAAGTAATTGCAATAATTAATTAATCATCACCGCTACCTTCTACACTTTTGCAGCACGAGCGACGTCACAACCGAAAATAGCTAGAAGAATCTCATCGTGGTTTTGGCGTCCATTTTGCGGCGTTCATGCGAATGAATCGCCGCACGTCGAATTATTTACGGAAAGTTTAGCAGCGTAAGGAGCCTTGATAATGTCGCTCAGGCGATTAAAGTGGCAAGACATTGCTTTGAGGACGGAAAATCGACAATTTCAACGCGAAAAAGAGTATGCAGACTCACACAGGCGCCGACAACGTGACATTACAATGGTTTGTTGGCACAAGACGCGGTGATTCTTGCCCGCACCCCATTGCGCATGCGCTCGAATTGTCGTCTGCTCGTTCAAACGACAGCGGCCCGTAAACCAAGCGTTCACCCGGTAATTGCGATAAGAAGTAAGTGCAGGCCTCAAAACACTATTGAGGGTTGGTTGGGGTAAGTAGGCTAAGTGTAAACAGTAGATACAAGATGTTGATCATTGTTACCAAGGCCATCATTGACTTGTAATGCCCGATTCTACTTGCGGTTTTCAGTATAGACGTCCACCATCTCAGCTATGGTCCACGCTTTTGCAGCCCGAGCGACGTCACGACTGAAAATAGCGAGCAGAATCTCATTGTGGGAGTCAGGCTTTAGCACCCATCTGCGGCGTCCACGTGAAATGAATCGCCGCAAGTCACATTATTCACGCAAAGTTTTGCGGTGTTACGGGCCTCGTTAGTTTTGCTGAAGCCTCTCAAGTACGCAGATATTGTTATGAGGACGTAGAATCAACAATTCCAACGCGAAAAAGAGCACGGGGACTCACACCGACGCCGACAAGAACGCAATTCAATGGTTTGTTTATGGGCGACGGCGAGCTTCTTGCCCACCATCCACCGCGCATGCGTGGCGCCGGTGGCATCTGCTAGGGGTGCTCCGGTTTGTTTGTAAACATGAGTTGGTGTATATCATTTTCTTGCCACAGCCTGCCAAATAAAAGGAAAGAACCGAAATTTGGATGTCGACCCATTCCGCCGGGCAAATTAATGAAAATGGTGGCTTTCCCCGCTCAGCTGGGAGCCGCAGGGAGTTGACGCTCATGCGCTCACGCCTCCCACTCTGTGCCGCAGGCTGATTGACTCACTTGTGAGGGGGGCGTTACGGCGGCGAGATCATAGACTGGCCAAACTCTTCCCATATATGGCTCTGCGCACAGAGACGTCAGAACGCCGAGCTCGATTTGGAATGACTAGTGGGTAGACACACTGCATCCGTCGAACGCGTTTAGACGTGAACACCGGTGTTTGAATAGTGCGGCGGAGACAAAGTCAGCTAGCTTGTGTCTACCCACTGGCCGTTACAACTAGAGCTCCGAGTTCGGACGTCTCCGCACACTCATGTATCCTCCTCTCCCTCATTTTCTGCCCGCATAGTCACTGAGAAGACAAGGACGACAGAGGGGAGTTTCTGTAGCCCAGCCACCAGCAAGAGCTTCCTGCCTCTGACAACGCTTGGGTATCTTGTGAGCCTCAAGCATACTCCCGCAGCCAAAGCATGACGGAAGGCAACGAGTATGTGCTGAAGTATTCGAAAACTTGAGAAACGCTCGGTCATTCCCATTTTGTGGGCGAATATAGCATCCCCAAACAGCAAGAAAAACTAGAGACGACTGTGGGATTATTGAGGGTGAACTTACTCGCAGCTTCTTTGAAGCCTGCATTGTTGTCGATCATAAACCCATTGGTTTAATCGTTTGCCTCACGCAAACATATTACGCAGAAGACCGCTGTTTCCGTAAGGGAGTACAGACCTCTGCCTCAAAGGGGCACTAAACCACTTTCTGCAATAGTCTTATGGCTCTAAGAGTCCTAAAAAACGAACATTCCATTCATATGCGACCAATTTTTCTATTAAAATCGATATTGAAGATTGATTACCTCAAGCTATCGCATACACAGGGGGCATCGTCAGAAGAAGAGAACAGCTTCTCCTCATGCAACGGCCATCATTGACACATATTTTAAAGGGGTACGGAAACGAAATTCTAGCGCTCATTTTCTAGCTTAAATGTGTTGCCTGTTGCAGCCTAACCTCAGAAACACCAGTCTTTCGTTGAAAGGCGCAAGAAAACTAAACTTAAAGCTACTTAAATGATCTTTTAATGTGCACCTGGGGGATGCCAGTGAAGCTTAGTTGAAAGGTAATATAGCAACGTCAGGAATCTTGCTACCTAGTCATGATGCAGCCAGAAACTGTTACGTAGCCGCACTAAACATTGAAGCAGCGCCGCTCTTTGGAAGTACGCTCAACTGTTTTAGTTACCTCGGCCTGAACGCGATTGCAAAGCCTATGCCCTTTTGCGAAGGAAGCCAACGAGATGCCCTGATGGACTTGTTGAGGAATGTCACCGAATTGTTCCTGTGACTTTGCTGTACAGTTCAAAGCCGTTACGTGCTTTTTAACGTCGAGATGCCGCCGCACTTCTGCATGACTGAGAACTGCAGTAACGACTTGATCAGCAGCGATATGCCGATCCGCAAGTTTCCGAAAGACGAGAAACTTCGTGCACTGTGGATCCAGGTCACACGTCTGTCATTTCCGACGTGGGTTCCGATGCCTGCCGCTCACTTGTGCGCCGATCACTTTCGTGATGAAGACTACGAGTGCAGACCCAGGGCAATGAAGAGCTTGAAACGCTCGTCATTCCATGGGTACTTCAAACTGCTCGGTTGTAACGCATTGACGCCACCACAATGCTGACAATGCCACTAAAGGCAAAGCTCATAACCACGCCAGTTTTGCTATGTCACAAATGTGAGGGACCTTCTCTTTTTTTTTTTTCCCCCGCCAGATAATTCATGACGCATTCCACCCTTTGTTAGCTTCTCTTCAAGCGCTTGCTCGAGTGCATCGTTTGGAACGAAAAATATAGCCGGTCGTTCAAAACACAAACGTGCAATTATCATTTACGGTTATTAACCGTCATGCTTGACTCAATTGCGAACGAAATTTGTATATTATGATTTTCGTTTCCGTACCCTTTTAATAGAGAAATTGGCCACGCATGGATGTAATGTTTGGTATTTTAGGATACTTGGGGCCCATAGATTAAGTTATGACCATAAATCGACTATCGCTGAAAGTGGCTTAGTGCCCCTCCAACACTTGACAGGCCGAAGATGAGGTTAGCTGGCAATTCTGAGAAATCCAAGTGTGTTAGGCTGCATCTAAAACACCCAGTCTATATAGATGGGCGAGATGCCCACTGGCCCCATCATTTTCCAACTATGGAATCCAATTTATAATGATTTTCTTATGGTTAGCTCAATGTCCGAAGTTGGTGGTGCTGCATCCTGTGTATATGTTAGCAAATGCACAACCAAAGGATGATTCTATTTGCGCGCACGGTAACACAGCTCATAATCGTGCCCGCTGCAGAACAGTCCTCGGCAGCACAATAAGTTCGTTTTCTAAAACGCTCTCTAGTGCCACCCTTGTTTCCCCAAATTCGGCATTTCGAGAGCTCTCGGTCGACAGTCACAGAACCCTAGCGCAAGCGCCGAAAAATTTTCGGATCGACGAATTCGAGAAGCTGTCCCTTCTTGTTGAACCTTAGCAATCCCAATTAAACCAACAAAATGCTGCGTGTTGGAGAATTACCACACGGGGCCGCAAGACGATAAAAACGGCATCATCATCTCTCGACCTATCTACTACGCAGATCGACCGTTCCAACCGCTCCGGAGCAGCGTAGGTTAAGCGTGGCGCCTGCACATTAACGGTTTCCCAAATATCGGTAATCCGAAATCGCCGCTCCTTGGTTAACTAGCTTCCACACTGGCCAGCAAAGTTCCGAGACTTGTAAAATGAATTGGCGAAGCGGGCGGCACCCCCGACCGCAACATAGCCAAGGGTTTGGCATGAAATGGTGTAACCACCGCGATCGGCTTGAAGCTGTAGGACGGTGTATGAAAAGAAGTTCCCCGAATAATAGTGAATCAAATGCAAGTAAAACTAGATTTGTGAGAAGAAGAAAAAAAAATGAAAGTGGAATCTTTGGGTTTCGTCCCATTAGGCCTAGAGGTCCAGCCCCACTACGGATCATTTCTCCCGACCCGGCAGGAGAAAGCGGAGAGGACCAAGTAGCCAGCTACTATACGGCATTCGCATAAAGAGAGCTTATCGCACACTTTCTGTCGTTAAGGAAAATAACGAAAGCGTAGTTAATAACGGCTTCGGGCTTCTGGTTCCACTGAAGAGCCGAGCGACTTTGCCGCAGCAAAGTGCCCAACATCGACGCCCTAAGCCTAAAACATCGCACGGAAGCATTGAATGGGGGTTCGGGTCTATCCGACGGATCCGGCACACGGAAAGAGCTTCCGTGGGACGCTCACCTTTAGAACGGTTTCAATCCACGTTTCGCGATCACCGCACTCCGTAGCCGACACCAAGAGCCCCTTGAGGTTTTCCCGACGAATCCTTATTTTACGTTTATTGCACTAGTGCCGCTGATGCCCCGCAAAGGTTGCTGTCAAATTTTGCAAAAAACTCCATAACACAATGGCGCCATAGGCATTTTTCTATGACGTCAGGCTTTTCTGCAAAACACAGCCAATGGCAGTGCTCCATTCTTCGCCCGGGTGCTGAGAACACTAGCGGAAAGCAATAGAACTACACGGTTGCTGTAATTGTTTTCACAAGAAAAATGGGTCCAATGTAACTGCTTTATTTCAGTTATTTATTACCTTGTCTTTAATTAAAAAAAGTGGAGAAATGTGGAGAAATGTAATCTTCAAAATGGGTACTATCAGTACTATTACTTTCGAAAGATGGCACTGCTCTGCCACACTCTTTGCTCAACAACCTTGGTCGGGGCTCTCTCAATACACCGACTCTAGCGCTTGGCGCGCGCGTGTGCAGCAAGCGGTTTCGGTTTCAATGCCTGCGCGTTGTGCTTGCTCTGTTGCGTTTCAAACTCGGGGCTTCACCAGTCCATTCCTTTTTTTTATCCAGTGACGCTGGCAAATTTTGGTGGTTTAGGAATTGTCAATTACTCTAACTTACGTTAAGAAAAAAAAAAAAATCCGATCATGCGACATGTACGTTTGCTTGCACTTTTATTTTTATGTAATTCCCTGGAGTCAAGGTATTACATAAAGGAGTAAGTAGGTTTACAGAAAATACGATGATAACAATTTGCGGAACGAGTAGATGTCGTTAGTGGAGACGATGAATTCGGGCAGGCCGTTGCCGTCCACAGATGTCGCCGGGGGAAATCATTACACGAGTGGATATGCGATGAGGTGTCAAAATGAATTAGCTATGTCATCTATATAAAACCTGTGAAAAATGAACCGTTTAGCAATACGCCCGCGTGAACAGAGAGGAGTCAAAGATAAGTGTTGTTTAAGTTCAGTGACGGAAGCAAACCTGGAATACTTAGACATTATAAAGCGAGCTGCACGGTTATGAAGTGATTCTATGTCAAATTCAAGGTATTTATAAGGGTCCCAGACTGGTGATGCATATTCTAATTTTGGACGTACTAACGTGGCGTATGCGAGTGTTTTGACGGATGAGGACGCGAGACGAAGATTACGGCGATTACGGCGAACTACTTTCAATCAATCTGAGTCAAAAGCAGTCCAACTGTACGTAAGGTAGCAGTAGCACAAGACTGTCAAACCGCAGCTAGTCTTTCAATTTAAAACGCGTTCCATTTCTTTTTTTTTTTTTTTTTGGGGGGGGGGGGGGGGAGGAGTGCTCGTTTGACCGGGAAGGAGGAGGGGGAGTGTGTCTGTGTGTGTGTGTGGGGGGGGGGGGGGGGGGGAAGCTGGGAGCCGCGGCCAGCGAGCCGCAGCTTCGCCACCCCTGGCATATGGTCTATTCCGTTGTCGTTTACCAAAGAAATCGGTTTACAATTATGGAAATATATTTTGCAAAATTTATGAGGGTTACTTTTGAGAAAAGCGGCAAGATCGCTCTGGTAAAGTTGCGTTACAGCTTTCGTGACATTCGACTTGTACAGTGCGAAAGTATCTGAGAAAAAGGACCAAGCCTGATCGGTGTTCAGACATCAAACACATCGATACAATTATTATTGATTTTTTTATTACAAAGCGTGTTATGTTTTCAGGTGTATCAGAAAGCTGCATTGTTCTCCCGAAACTGTATTAGAGGTCCAAGACGGTCAATTAAGCAAAGTAACGTCTCATTAAAAAAGTATCCAACTCTCTAGTACAGAAGGATAAAAAAAAAGGGGGGGGGGGGGTAGTATGTTTCCTATATGTCTGTTCCTTCGCTTGCACTCCTTTCTGTGTCTGTTCCTTCGACTAAAATATTTTCCTTTGCTGCACCACAGTCATGGCGCGTTTTTCTGCACGCGAAAACGCGACGCGCTACGAACGCTCGCGCGGAAGCTGACGCGGGGGCACCCGCATGCAGACAAAGCCAAGCACCGCCGGCCGCGCGTTATCAGCGTTGCCAGATAACAGAATTCTCAACACGCGATGTAAATGTTGACGCAAATACTACAACATGAAAATTAAATGAACCAACAAGTAAATAAAACGGGTTTGTGTGTCAAAAGAAACACGTTTTAAAGTTTTATATGGAAAATAAAAGTGCTTTTGAATACTTTGAAATGTGCTGAATACGGAACAGCGTACTGTGCAGGATCACGTGATAGTTCGACCGACCCTCATTGGGCGAGAGACGCTTCGACGCCTCGGCGCGCGCGTCTTGTTCTGGGTCGGCTAGAAACCAACGCTCCCGCGAAAACGCGCGCCCGCGCGCAGGAAATGACGTCAGTTTGACGCCAACGTGCCTGAATTGCGAACAAAAACGCGCCATGTGGTCTGCGCTTAAGATGTACATGATTGGCTAAGTACATTGTATTTAAGAAGCGACGCGGGTTCTTAAATATTTTAGAGCGCAGCAATGGCACGTTTACACTTGCGGATCCGCTAGCGAATCCGCCCAGCTTTTGCCGCTGGGGCGAAACGCTGGGCGGAAAACGCGGCGGCGAGCCGTTTAGTTCCAGGACCTATTTCTGCCGCCGAACGAGGCGTTTCGCTGGCCGGAAGTGACATTCTTGCGCTGCGCGACGCTGCCTACGTCATGAGCACGCGTGGTTCCGGGAGCAGCAACGCCCGGGAAAGAAAGCCGAGGCGGGAACTCTCGCGCCTTCTCGCCATATTTGACGAGATGTTACGGGAACTCGTCGCTCGTCGCCGCCGCCGCCGGGAGTGGATCCGCTCCCGCGGCAGCGGATTTCTTCTCAGGTGTAAACGTACCATGAGGCGGCCGTTTCTGGGTTGAGCGGCGTCGCCGTCGCCGTTGTCGTAACCGCGCGTTGCATTATGGGGCGTTTCCCGCTAAAGCTAGCGGGGAAATTTTTGCGCTAAACTTAGCGGGAAAATTTCGCGTTCAATTTAGCGAGCAGAAATGTTCCTGCTAATTTAGCGAGTTAAGCATCCCAGCTAAATTTAGCGAAAAAAGTTTTGCCCGCCAAATTTAGCGGGAAAAGTTTCGCCCGTCATATTTAGCGGGAGAACTTCCAGCTAAATTTAGCGGAAAAATTTCTCCGCTAAGTTTAGCGGGAAAATCGACGTCACGTGACCTCAACACAAATTCAGTTTCCCTGTAAACATACCGGGAAAAGTTTCGCTACATTTCTCCGCTAAATTTAGCGGGAAAACTTTCGATAACTTTCCCGCTAAATTTAACAGGAAATTTAAAGAAAATGTTTCGCTAAATGGAAGAGGAAAAGTGGAGGGGAGGGAGGGGAGGAGGAGGAAGGGCATACCCTCCCCTCCGTACCCTAGCTCAGGCCCTCCTCCTCCTCAAGGGCTGCGCTCTAATTTGGCACTACGGAGAATCGTCTTTAATTTTTTAATATTATTTATTTATCGACACATTTTCTTAATTGGCATGCAGGCAAGCTTTTTAATAATGATTTTATATCTCGAATTACGTTTCAGATATCTCCTCTAGAGCAAAAGCTATGACAAAATATCAAATTCCAATTGGGTGATTTATTACTGGTCATATATCACAATTTCTCATAAATATATATATTTTTTACAATGTGCAGTGAGTTGCAAGGGCCCACCGTACATACTAAAGCTAAACGAACCTTTATGACGCCAGTTTTTTACCGCAAATAAATTACAAACCTGGAAGCAAACAAAATCTGCCAGTAATTAGCCAAAAGTTTAACTAACTACTTTAAATCTATAAACTCTGTTAAAAAAAAAAAAAAAAAAAAAAACACGAAAGTTTTAGGATGCAGTTTTGTTGTTGCTGAGAAGAAAATATTAACTTCACTGGTATCCATTTATATAAATTTTATAAAAATTTCCGTTAGGAAATGGCACCTTTAAACAAGTCAAAGATGAGAAAATCGCATTTGAAGTTCCTTGCATGCTAAAGTTTTTTTTTTTTTTTTACTAAAATGCATAGAACAATAAAATCTTTAGGATGCAGTGCGGTTATTGCTGAACACAAAATACAACGTTTTCTAGAAATCGTTTATGCCAATGCTTTTAAAAGCTCGATCGAACAATGGCAATGAAGAAAAAAAAAGAAGAAAAAAGTACAGAAAATCTTGCTTGCTTGGTAGAAGAGCGTGTTGGTTTAAGTCATGGATGAAGAAAGAATAAACAATTAAAACAGGGATAACACAACCACATCTTTCATTGATGTGGTTTGTTGATCTGTTTTAATTGTTTATTCTTTCTTCATCCATGACATTACAGAAAATCACGTCGGAGTTCTTCGGCTGTGAGTAGGTTCACGTGAGTCCTTGGGAGTATTCCTAGGACATATCGGGCTTGTGCCTGTAGATAGATATCATTCAGCTGAAGCCATAAACTGAAACTTATAGACCCAAACCTCTCCCCCCCCCCCCCTTGCCGCACCCCAAGTCATGAACATCCCAGCTACTCAGCCCCCCTCCCCCCGGCAAAAATTACTGGCTACGCCACTGACTCCAAGTCCACCGACGGAGGCAAATTTGGCGTCCCAGCGACGCGGAACTGCCCTGCCTTCCGAGTCCTGACCGACGCCGAGGAATATACCGCAGATAAGCCGCAAGGGGTGCGCGGCAAGGAGGAGGATCCCCAAAGTGAACCAAAACTTCCGGCCCGAAACGGGCTACCGCGCTCTCAATAACGGCCTTTCTCTTTCTACACGCGGAAAGTAAAAGAAACGCGGCAAAGGCATTTTCTACGCCATGACCTACAACAGCATGACATAACGAGACAGAGAAAAAGTCTGCCGACGCAGCGAGCGAGCGCGTAGCCGAGGGAGAAAGTGGCGGCGGCGACCCAAACGACAACCCTTTCCGCAACAAACCTGGACCAGAGAGAACCTTACGAATCATAGGAGCCAATCAAAACGTTGGATGCTTCTCACGTGACCTAGCTTATTTTGTTTTGTCGAGTTGAACCATTATTCTCTCTCTGCGCCGGATTGGACCGAATCTGTCGTACGACTTCTTCGCAGTCCGCCTTCTGACGAAACGGGTCGTGGAATCGTCGGCAGGCGGCCATTGGCGGAGGATTACGTTGAGCGTTCGTGACGCCACGAGCGGGGCTTGCCTTCTCGCCGCCTGCTCTCCGAGCCGCGCGAGCGCTCGACGGAGGGCTTTTCAGTTTCAGCGGCGGCCGTTCGGCGGAACGGGGAAAGCGGCGGCGCGGTTATACAACAGCCGGTGAAAAGGAAATGCGGACCTTGTCGGGTGACCCTGCCGCCGCGATGCGCGTCCCGGAAGGGGGGCCCCACGGATGCTGCCGACGAGTGCGTGGGGGGGTGTGCCGTTGTCGTCGCTAGAACCCGCGGCCCGGGCATTGGGGGTGTTTGTGGCGATGCCTCTGCACACGGTCCGGGTGACACCTGTTGACAAACATGCGTCCGCGGATAAACTCAAGGACAAAAAGGTAGGTGACTTCCTTCTTTTCTTTCGTTTGGGCCGGGGTCACAACCCGCTAGCAGTAGCGCGTGCCAAAGTGTGGTGTGTATCCCTGGCTCGCTGGGACCCCTCGCTAGATCGTGACATCTATCGTATTTCTGCGCTTGGTGGTACTTGGCACCAACTGCTCGAACCAAGCGCGAAGAACACGTCGTGAGATCGCGTTTTAAGTTTGTGTGTGTGTTTGTGTTGAGGCTAGCTTTTGGGCCCGCTGGGGACTTGGAATGAAACGAAGTGTAAACACTTCGTTAGGTATGATATATATATATATTTTTAATTATTATTGCTTTAAGTCTTATTCCATTAGAGCTTTGACCCGTCTAGCCGTCACCTTGTTGCGCAACTCGGGTGGCACTTTGCGGAATGTAGTACGCCCTGCCGTTATTGTTGCCGCTATGGAGGAAAGCGGTCGGACTAGTTGAGGGCTGCGCGGACTTCGCCTTCTGCGCCGGAATTGCAACAGCCTCGAATGCAGAGCGTACTCAATCCTGTTCTGAAGGGGGAGCCCTTATGGGTGCGTACCCGGTTTCAGACCGAGCTGCGTTGCGCACTGCGCAGCTAGAGAAACAACAACAGAAACGTTTCGGACTTGTACAGTCGGCAGGAAAAGTTTGCATTGCACGGGAGCGCCAGCCGAAATGACTGCGGCTTCTGAGTGCGCGTTACCGCTCTCAAGACTCATGCTTTGCGCATGCGCTTCCTTTTGGGTTCGCAGACACTTCCCCCCCTCCTTTTTTTTTTTTTTTTTTCTTCTTTTGCTTGTTGCCGTTTGAGGTAACAGGGACGGGCGCAAGCTGCCGCGAAATGTTATCTGGAGCATGAGAGCTCCGTCACTCATCGCGGTGGAGATGGCAGACGTGTGGCATGACGGTCGACAAAGCGTCACCATGTGGCGGTCCCCCTTATCTTGTGCGCTTTGGACGGAAGCGAGTAATGAATACATGACTGCGAGCGAGCACGAAAGGAAGCGCATTGTCGAAGCGCGAGTCTTGAGAGCGTCCGCGCGCCGCCAGAATGAGCTACCACCAGTCATTTCGGCTGGCACTCCCGTGCCCCTCAAACTTTTGCTGCCCGCTGTACGCTTCTCCCATGCAAAGTGTAGTTCCTCGACCTCGTATTCTTTTTCAAGATGTTAATACTAGCTGTAATTGCCGACTTTGTTTACTTTGTTTTGCTTTCCACCATGAATATATACTAAACGATGTTGGTCGTGAGATCACCATGGATTCGTCGAAAAAAGTTAGGCAATCGCTGCTTGGAATAAAACATTTTATCTCTAGTCTATATATCCTCAAAAGCCAACCCTCAAACAATACGCGCGCAAAAAAAAAAAAAAAAAAAAGGAAGAAAAGATATTTATTCGCCCGAGAGCACTCGCAGCAGTTTCGTGTATCTTCTTTCGATTTCCACTGCTCATCCCCCATTTTCCCCAGCTTCCCCGTTTGGAAGCTATGCGGGTAGACATGGGCGTACCAACCTGGGGGGGGGGGGGAGTGCTTTGCCGCCCTCCCCCAGTTCTCAGAGTGAGGGGGGGGGGGGGGTCAAGGCATATGTTCTGTCCCCCCTCCCCTGAAACAGCCGCCACTGGGCAGGGCAAACACTAGCCGGTGGCGCCCAAGGTATACACTCCAAAACAAATCTGTGCGTCTACTTTCTGGGAAAGTAGCGCCAAGTCACCATCTTGGTCCGTGAAATGAGCAGTTTCTCCTTGACTCCTCCGTTTTGGTGAGCCGATCTAAATTCGCTGGTGAACGAGAGCTTTGAGACGTTTCTTGTATACCGGGATTTTGATATCCACACACCGGCGGAACAAGCGTGCATCTTCGTACCACCACCACATGCTGTGTCGGTGTTTGGAGGGACTGAAAAGTAATTTTGCTGTTTTCCAGTAGGCAAGAAGAAAAATATAATTGTAAGAGATTTGTGTAGATGGGCGTGATTGATAAGTTGGTCGCATACGCAGTGCCAAAGACGCTTGTATTGGCGAGGAACGCTTCCAGTACGATGATGCTCTATGGTGATCTTGGCGTGACTGATTTAGAACGACCCCCTGGACGCTTCGAAGATTTAAAGAGACCGAAATGGCGGTTTCCATGGCAACGTAGACAGATTAGCCAATCGCCTTGCGAGGTTATGGTCGTCTCTATGTTAGTATCCGTTTGTGTCCGGCGAGCAAGTAAGCAAGGCAATGGCGCTACTTTCCCAGGATCCAGTGGTGACTTTAGGTAGACCTTTGTCGTTCACGCGCCACTCATGCAGACGTCCAACACCGGCGATTTCTGAATAAGCTGGATTCAGAAATGCGCGCGAGTCCCTTGGTCATTAGCAAAAGACAAGAATATTCTACTGCACCTGTCCGCCATTCTGATGTTTGCGCAATGAAACTTAAGCTTCTGTGGCTGATGATGGTGTCGAGCAAATTCTTGAAATGCTCGCCTTCGGCACGCACTAGGTGCTTTCATGTGCGCTTTGCTGTGCTTATGACATCCCGTCATTTTTCTCGCAAACTTTTTTTTTTTTTTTTTTAGCGCGTAAAGGAGCGTATTACGATGCGAGCTCTTGGCATCGAATGCGCTCCGACGGCATTTTGTGACTGGCTATTTATTTGCACTTTCCCCGTGGGCGCGTGCGGTCGACATCAGCAAGAAGCGTCGCGAGCAAAATGACGTCACCTCAATCTCTTGTCAATGTTGCTTCGTACGATTTACCTGCACCGGTGCAGAGAAGTGTGTACTTATTTCCGGTCGTATTTAAAGACACATACCGGAAGTACACTGCCCTACGCTGTTCTGCACCTGTGCAGAAGTGCAGGTAAAGTTCCGGTATCGCCGCCTGGTGGAATTTTTTCGCAACCCAGAGTGAGGATACTTTAACTCCTTCTGCTGGTGCTAGCAGGTGCAAGCACATGCAATGCCAAACTGCTATGCACTATGAAAATGAAAACATAACCGCGTGGGTAGCATATCCACTATCCATAGTGGGGAAAACAAGCACCCGTAGCGAGCTTCTCATCGCGAATACAACGCTGTCAAAGCTACTGGCGCCAGCGCGTGGCTTCATTTGTGGTTTCGTTTACGCGAGAACGTGTGCAAAATATAGAGATCAAGCCCCATGCTCGCGCCAGCAGCTTTGTCAGCGTTGTATAATAAGTATGAAAAGAAGTATAGGGCGTATTCACGGGACGCCATATTTGAGGGTCTAGAGCGCATGCTCAGAACGAGTTCACACAAATAGGTTAAGACCGGCAATCTTGATGGTGTGGAATACACGTTGCAAAAGAACTGTGGAAGCTCAACACTAGCACGCGCTCAGCATTCACACGCAGGCACACGCACGCACGCAGTTATGACCGCGAATGAATACTCCCTATAGACGCTTTGCAGCAGCTGTGCATGGACGCCGTCATAACTGACCTTCAGTTTTTGTTTCCTCTTATTTCGTTTATTTCACTTCATCATTACCATAGCAGGCCAGGTTATTGCCATATTAGATTAAACTCTGTCCTTTTCTAAACCATCGGCCTTTGTAGAGGATCGTCAACTACCGTTTCAGTTGCTGGGCATCTCGGTAAGACAAGAGAAGGTCAGCAATGGCGACTGTAATTTGGCGCGTGTCTTCTGTTTAGAGTGATGCCATTGTTTGTATACGCCATTCCAATATTTACAAGTACTCAGCCCAGCATGCGATCGCCTCAGCCCAGCCCGGGCATGTTCGTCGCTTCGGAAAGTGAGCAAATCACGCGCCATATGCACGAACACTAAAAATAAAACCGGCCAAAAGCCCCCTTTTTTTTTTTTTAAGTCTATAGTAGCTAACTTTAGTAGTAGCCGATGCCGACAACGCGCTCTTACTGGAAAAACGTAAAAAGCCCGCAGCAAAATGCCTCCTTTGTACACCCAATTACAGTGTTACCCAATGTCAGGAGTTCGTGCCATAAGACGTTCTTTTACGCACTTGAGAACAAAAAAACAACAAGAAGCGTCACGAGCAAAATGGTCAGTTGTGATTATTACTCTTTTTTTTTTTTTCTTTCCCGAGATACAAGCTTCAAGCTAAACACAAAAATCAGGAAGGATCGTTCTTTTGCCGTTCACGAAGAAAGACGCGACGAGCGGAAATTGAATCCAAGCGGCACAGCCAGTGGCAAAACGTACACACGAAGAAGCAGTCGGGATGAGTAACGAAACCGGGCAAACCGAAGCGCGTGCGTGCGTTCATCGACACTCGTCTGCACAGATGGTAAACACTGATGCGGTTCCCCGGAATTTCGCGGCAAAGGACGCGTGTCAGCGTGGTCACTGGAAGGCCTCCGACGACGGCACACTTTTCCTTCCAATGCAGTGCCCTCTCCCATTGTGAGTGCGGATTAGAGCAACACCTATTAGAGAGCGCTCCTCTCGTGACGTCACCGCTGGAGGCGATCGGGTCGGCCAGGGCGCCTCGGGATAGGGAGTATTCACTGGCGGCCATAGCTGTGTGCGCGACTGCTGAGCGCGTGCTGACGGCCAGCTTCCACAGTTCTTTTGCAACGTGCATTCCGCACCATCGAGATTGCTGGTCTTAGCAGCCTACTAATGTGAGCTTGTTGTGAGCATGCGAAATATGGAATACTTCCTATAGCGCTCATGTGAAGGCATCGCGCGTGAGTATACCGTCGTAAAAACAAGTTTTTTTAATTGATACAAACGTGTTTTCTTATTTAGAAATTAGTTTAGAAATAACAGACAAGCCAGTAAGGAAATGTTGCACGGGAAGCGATCGGATGCCGCGGAACAGCGCAGACATGTAAGTGAGCATTGCGGGGGGTTCACGTTCGTAGCTAAAAATGCTTATTAACGCAATCATGCTTTATTACTTATAGAATGGTAGCTATACAAAGGAATTAGTCTAGAAAGGTGTGTACAGTGTTACGATCGGCGTTCGATTCGTGCCTGTGTTCCGGCGGACGAGAACTCAAGTTATCGTGAA